TATCTATTAAGAATAAACAATATCATCGCAATTATTACATTAAAAGAGGTGAGCATAAAAAAAAAATTCAAATTTTATGTAAACAGTGTATTCATCGATATTAAAATGTCGACGATGAGTGATTTTTCTCATTTAAAGATTTTTAAAGGAATGTAATACTTCCAATTTTCACGTTTTCTTGTCTTTCTCTCACATGAAATAAAAGATTTCATGCATTTATCGTAATCATAGGAATAAAAAGACATCTGCATCTAACTTTTGGAACATGCCCGACGAGCTTAACAACAATCATATTTATGTTTTATGTAAAGCATTCTTCGCGTCATGTCATATCAATGAATTCGATAGTTTTGCAATATAAGACTAAATATATTCCAGAAATATCTGAGTCTCTTTTTACATATTTATGTTTCTCTATCTACTCACCTAGTAAGCACATTAGTGATCCCAGGTATATGGAATTATAATTCCCCAGCCAGGAATCGGATAGCCATCCTCCGAAAATCGTAAAGACGTAATTCGTGCCGATAAAGACCAAACTAAAAACTGCAGCATTGGCGCTCGAATAACCCAAATCGTTCGTGCAGAAAAGAACGAGGTTCGTCAGGATACCGTAAAAGATAATTTTTTCGACGAAATTAAGAAAACCAATGCATAATACCAAGAAAACATCACGGCTCGTGGGTTTGCTATCAAGAGCCTCTGATTCTGATGAAATTTTTTGTCTTGAAGAGGCTTGAACATTCGACGAATCTCCAGTATTCGACATTTTACAGCACTACCACGATTTCAAGTTTAAGGCCGTGTTATCCACCATAATTACATGCCAATACTGCAATGTCATACCGTTTTTAAATTTTTTTTAACAAGTAATAAAACTTTATAACATATCCTGGTAGACATTATCTACTGTATCCCTGCATCAATACATATAATCATTTTACACAGGTTTGGCATAACAGTACGACAGAAATATACAGATTACAATAACATTTTGAAACAAAACAGGCATTCCCTGAAATGTAGACACCTACACTGGTAATGAAAACATAATACTTTCATAATACACATGCATATTTTATAAAATGCTTCTCATCTATAAAAAAAAATAATTAAGGAGCCCCAAACTCAACCAGTGCACTAAAAGTTCAAATATGTGTCCAACAATATGCAACTAGACTAATCATTATCATGAAAATTCATGCTTTTTTTAATGCTCCTATTTTCTTTCCGGTCTATCGGTTTGTTCAGGACAATACAAAATGGCACACAATAATAATAATAATAATAATATTTAAAAGTCCACTCCAAATTTTATTGAGTTAAACCGAAAATGGAAATTCTTTTTGCCCAATTGATCGTGAGCCCGGCAGCCACTGTGCAGCGCCAGATCGACGTTGCTCTATCCCCTTATTGTTGAACGCCAAACAAGGTAGCAGCAACTCCCGTCTTTTAACGTCTTTTGGTATGACGCGGCCGCGGTTCGAACACAAGACCTCCAGGTTGTGTGGCGGTCGCTCTACTGACTGAGCCAACACACTGGTATTTTTTATTTTTTTTAATAAATGACAGTCAATACCTACATACATACTACAGAGTCTAAAAGGTTAAGTACTATTGACAACATCATTCAAAAAAACTAGATGGCCATGAAGGAATCTTTTAATTGCAATTTGATTCTGAGTAATGTAATTCTGTGTACCAGTCAGTGTGTGAATTGTAGCCGCATGATATACAAATTCATGTAATTTCAGCTACATCGGGTCAAGCAGTATAAGTGATTGTTTTTTTCACATGTCTTCAAGGAGCTTAAATAAAATTTGTTTTCATTTCAAAATGCTGTATGATTAGATGTGAAGTGTAATTAAATATCCTCCGTCCAATTTTGTTTCCGCCTATATGTCCCAAGGGTCTTTCAAAACATTTCAGAAACTTTTCTAAGCTTTCAAGTTTTCAGAATTATGTTGGTTTTTCATTATCATAGATTTGCTGATGCTAAAGAGAAACAATAATATCTTAATGTTGCTACTTGTCATGGCAACAGTATTTGTGGGGCTACCCCCTACGTACAGTCATGATTCAGTGGCAAAGCAATGGCCTCGTAACTGTGAGACCCGAGGATAAAAATCGTGTCGATGTGCTATATTAGTGCCCTTTTGTGAGGCATTAATCCTCATACTGTCAGTTATGACTTAAGGACGTAGGCCCCCTAGTTGATAAGCATAGTAGCATACACGTGATTTTGCAATCATGCAAAACAAACACTCGCAACTTATTATTCAATACAATTTGAGAATGTATACTTTTATCTATAGATCTATGAGGAAGAAATCGTTTTCAAAATCATTTCATAAATTGGGGTGAAAAAAAATTATTCCACCTTTATGACCAACAGTGTATATATTGATGCAGGTATACAGACAGTAGATTATGCCTACCAGGATATGTTATTAAGTTTTATCACTTGTTTAACAAAACAAAAAAAATCCAAAATGACATTGCAATATTTGAATGTAATTATGGTGGATAAGACATTACGGTCTTAACCTTGCAATTGTGGTAGTGCTGTAAAATGTCGAATACTGGAGATTCGTCGAATGTTCAAGCCGCTTCAAGCCAAAACAGTTCATCAGAATCAGAGGCTCTTGATAGCAAACCCACGACCCGTGATGTCGTCTTGGTATTATGCATTGCTTCTCTTTATTTCGTCGAAAAAATTATCTTTTACGGTATCCTGACGAACCTCGTTCTTTTCTGCACGAACGATCTGGGTTATTCGAGCGCCGATGCTGCTGTTTTTAGTTTGGTCTTTATCGGCACGAATTACGTCTTTACGATTTTCGGAGGATGGCTATCCGATTCCTGGCTGGGGAATTATAATTCCATATACCTGGGCTCACTAATATGCTTACTAGGTGAGTAGAAAGAGAAACATAAATATGTAAATAGAGACTCAGATACAATTATTGCTGGAATTATTTACTCTGCGTCCCAGAAAAAAACGAAGCCGAGAATTATCGATGTTTTATCATAACTTAATCAGATTTATAATTAATAAATGACACATATTTGTAAAGCTTAGATCCTCCTCTTTCATTACGTTTTGTTGACGATCAGCCATGCTTTTCTGTCTTTCGTCTTTTTTGTTCATGGCTGATCGTCAACGAAACGGAGTTAAGTCTTTTATCAACTTTGCTTGTTGCTACGGCAGGCATCCAGTGAAAACGAATTCATTTAATCAAATTATGGAATTGCAAGCATTACTTTAAATAGACAGAACTTTGTTATTCCTGGCTCATTTTTGCTGATTGAGGTGTCATATGGAAGGGCAGAAGATGAACCTTCTAGAAATGTGATTTTCTCTTTGAAATTGAGATACCGTCCGCCAAATGACTTTTGGTACCCTCTCTTCAAATTTCTTGAAAGAGGAGTATCTAAGCTTTACAAATATATGTCATTTATGAATTTTTATTGTGATTAAGTTATAATAAAACATCGATAATTTTCGGGGTTTTTTTTTGTTGGGGACGCACTGTATTGCAAAACTATCGAATTCATTGATATGGGATGACGCGATGAATGCTTTGCATAAAACATAGATGTGATGGTTGTTAAGCTAACTATGCATGTTCCTAAGTTTCTTATACAAAGAAGTTACATAAGCGGACACTTTTTTTTTTTTGGGGGGGGGGGGGGGGGTCTCGAAATTTGAAAATTTGACATTTTGATCCGTTAGGGGGAGGTAAGGTCACCTTTTTTAGGTCAGCCATTGGCATAATTTACAACAAATTTTTTTTTTTTTTTTAATTTTTTATTACAAAAAAAAAAAAAAAAAAAAAAAAAAAAAGGGGGGGGGGGGGGTTTCACAGAAAATCATACACAAAACATACACATAAAAGAAACTCAAGGGGGGGGGTTTAACCTCAAACCCCCCCCCCCCCCCCTTTAACGTCTTGTGGTATGACGCGGCCGCGGTTCGCACACAAGACCTCCAGGTTGTGTGGCGGTCGCTCTACTGACTGAGCCAACACACTGGTATTTTTTATTTTTTTAATAAATGACAGTCAATACCTACATACATACTACAGAGTCTAAAAGGTTAAGTACTATTGACAACATCATTCAAACAAACTAGATGGCCATGACGGAATCTTTTAATTGCAATTTGATTCTGAGTAATTTGTAATTCTGTGTACCAGTCAGTGTGTGAATTGTAGCCGCATGATATACAAATGCATGTAATTTCAGCTACATCGGGTCAAGCAGTATAAGTGATTGTTTTTTTTTCACATGTCTTCAAGGAGCTTAAATAAAATTTGTTTTCATTTCAAAATGCTGTATGATTAGATGTGAAGTGTAATTAAATATCCTCCGTCCAATTTTGTTTCCGCCTATATGTCCCAAGGGTCTTTCAAAACATTTCAGAAACTTTTCTAAGCTTTCAAGTTTTCAGAATTATGTTGGTTTTTCATTATCATAGATTTGCTGATGCTAAAGAGAAACAATAATATCTTAATGTTGCTACTTTTCGTGGCAACAGTATTTGTGGGGCTACCCCCTACGTACAATCATGATTCAGTGGCAAAGCAATGGCCTCGTAACTGTGAGACCCGAGGATAAAAAACGTGTCGATGTGCTATATTAGTGCCCTTTTGTGAGGCATTAATCCTCATACTGTCAGTTATGACTTAAGGACGAAGGCCCCCTAGTTGATAAGCATAGTAGCATACATGTGATTTTGCAATCACGCAAAACAAACACTCGCAACTTATTATTCAATACAATTTGAGAATGTATACTTTTATCTATATAGATCTATTAGGAAGAAATCGTTTTCAAAATCATTTCATAAATTGGGGTGAAAAAAAAATTATTCCACCTTTATGACCAACAGTGTATATATTGATGCAGGTATACAGACAGTAGATTATGCCTACCAGGATATGTTATTAAGTTTTATCACTTGTTTAACAAACAAAAAATCCAAAATGACATTGCTATATTTGAATGTAATTATGGTGGATAAGACATTACGGTCTTAACCTTGCAATTGTGGTAGTGCTGTAAAATGTCGAATACTGGAGATTCGTCGAATGTTCAAGCCGCTTCAAGCCAAAACAGTTCATCAGAATCAGAGGCTCTTGATAGCAAACCCACGACCCGTGATGCCGTCTTGGTATTATGCATTGCTTTTCTTAATTTCGTTGAAAAAATTATCTTTTACGGTATCCTGACGAACCTCGTTCTTTTCTGCACGAACGATCTGGGTTATTCGAGCGCCAATGCTGCTGTTTTTAGTTTGGTCTTTATCGGCACGAATTACGTCTTTACGATTTTCGGAGGATGGCTATCCGATTCCTGGCTGGGGAATTATAATTCCATATACCTGGGCTCACTAATATGCTTACTAGGTGAGTAGAAAGAGAAACATAAATATATAAATAGAGACTCAGATACAATTATTGCTGGAATTATTTACTCTGCGTCCCAGAAAAAACGAAGCCGAGAATTATCGATGTTTTATCATAACTTAATCAGATTTATAATTAATAAATGACACATATTTGTAAAGCTTAGATCCTCCTCTTTCATTACGTTTTGTTGACGATCAGCCATGCTTTTCTGTCTTTCGTCTTTTTTGTTCATGGCTGATCGTCAACGAAACGGAGTTAAGTCTTTTATCAACTTTGCTTGTTGCTACGGCAGGCATCCAGTGAAAACGAATTCATTTAATCAAATTATGGAAATGCAAGCATTACTTTAAATAGACAGAACTTTGTTATTCCTGGCTCATTTTTGCTGATTGAGGTGTCATATGGAAGGGCAGAAGATGAACCTTCTAGAAATGTGATTTTCTCTTTGAAATTCAGATACCGTCCGCCAAATGACTTTTGGGTACCCTCTCTTCAAATTTGTTGAAAGAGGAGTATCTAAGCTTTACAAATATGTCATTTATGAATTTTTATTGTGATTAAGTTATAATAAAACATCGATAATTTTCGGTTTTGTTTTTTTTGGGACGCACTGTATTGCAAAACTATCGAATTCATTGATATGGCATGACGCGATGAATGCTTTGCATAAAACATAAATGTGATGGTTGTTAAGCTAACTATGCATGTTCCTAAGTTTCTTATACAAAGAAGTTACATAAGCGGACACTTTTTTTTTTTGGTCTCGAAATTTGAAAATTTGACATTTTGTTCCGTTGGGGGGAGGTAAGGTCACCTTTTTTAGGTCAGCCATTGGCATAATTTAAAAAAAAAAAAGCAAAAAAAAAAGGGGGGGGGGTTTTCACAAAAATCATACACAAAACATACACATAAAAGAAACTCAAGGGGGGGGGGTTAACCTCACACCCCCCCCCCCCCCCTGCGTACGCGCCTGGTCACGATCACTTCATGAAAAGAGGTAAGAAAGAATTATTCAAACTTTATGGGCAACTGTATATAGTGTGAGTGTACGTCTTTTCATCGGAGCACTGGCTGTTGATTGAAAATGTCAAGAAGCAGAGCCCTTTCCAATCTTTGATAGGCACAAGGAATGACATTCTTCTAACTTCAACAATATTTCAGGTACCGCTGTGCTGCCTTTGGTAGCTTATGAATGGTCAAACGACTATGGTCCATCCTTTGGGTTTAACCTAGAAACCAAACGAGTCTTCTTCGTCATTACTCTCTTCATCGTTAACATTGGTACCGCCCCCCTCAAGGCGTGTTGTGCTCCCTTCACCGCCATTCAAGTTGAAGAGTGTGGAACTAGAGCGATACGAAGCACCTATCATTGGTAGGTCTTGTCTCGTATATCAGGACATTACATTTTTATTGATATGATAAGGTACGAAATCATTTCAATTCAAGATGAAGATGATCTAAATTTAAAAAAATTATAGACTTTAATTATAGAGTTTTGCTATTCTTTTCTGGTCATTTAGTTTGGAAGCATGTCCACTGTATGAATAAATTAGCATAGAAACTTCTTTCCCCCTTTTTTCTTCAATCTCGAAAAAAGTTGATTATACAATTTATTTTCTTGAATTTGAAGCCTTCAAATATACCATATATTATCTATTGAACATCATCGATTTAAATATTCTCCTTTCTAAAAAATACAAAAATGTGCTACATGATAAAATTATCATGTTAAAAGATAGATTGAAACAAGTTATAAAACCTGGTTATGTTGATATATTATTAAAGTATTTTACACTTCTTTATCTTTGATTATGTATACCCAGTAAACATGGAAATGTGACAAATATTATAAATATTTCTAATTCTGATGAAAGTGATATCATGACTAAATAAAATGTATTTTATTTTCATTTTGAGAATAGGGTGTACCTCATCTCCGAGATTGCTCCTTTGTTTACGTATTCTGTACTTTCATACGTCGAGCAAAATGTTTCTTTCTTCTTGGGCTTCATCGTTGTTCTCTGTTTCAACGTCGTCGGTATTGTCGTCTTCGCTGTGGGTCGAGATTTCTACAAAATAAGACCACCGAAAGGTAATACTGACGTTTCAACATTATTGTTACGTATTTTCTTGTTTTTGCTTGTTATTCAAAGACGTTGAGGGGCATGATTTTTGTATTTTGTTTTATTTTTGTAACGAATGTCTTATTTTAAGCCATGTTCTATTTTTACCTAATAATTATCAACTATGTTACTTAGGGACGTTGCGCTACATTGTTCCTACTATGTATTATATATCAATGTAACCCACTGTATTTTATTATAATGTAAACAGTTATTTTACATGGTGAATAAATAAAACAAACAAACAAACAAACAAAATAGTTTTGATGCAGTTAAATCTTTGGCATCCTTAATAACATGTAGTTTATATATCCCCCTCCCCCTCCCCCTCCTCCTCCCTCCCTCCACCCCTTTCTCTCCTTCCACTATTCCACACCGTGCACTGTTAATGTAATGTTATCGTTTTATATTTATAAATATCTTGATCAGAATTATGGTATAGAACCATGATAACTCAAATTAGATTCAGTCAATTTAAATCTCTCTTGTTATGTTCTCTCTTTACTTGCCAACATGTTATATTTTGTTTAATAATACACCTTTTTGTGCCGGAATCGGTTGTTGTCATTTTAGTCATCAATTTATGTACAAGATCACTTCCGGATATGTTTTATATTTGTAATAAATATCATGTGCGTGTATGTTACTTAGTCCAACATGTAGAGTTGTAGGCTATTACATTTATCACATGAAATTGTTTGTTTTTAATCAGTATGAAAATTGATCTTAAAAGATGTACTTGAATGAGAGTGAAAAGAAATGGGGAAAATAAAGTAGTAATGAAACATGTAACGGTATGAAACAGTAAAGTTAGTTAGTTGTATCATGATTTTATATGGGATCGCACCATCTTGGACGGCATCTAATTTTTCCTTTCTCCCCCCCCTCTCTCTCTCTCTTCTGTCTCTCTCTCTCTCTGTCTCTGTCTCTCTCTTTCTCTGTCTCTCCCTCTGTATATCTGGCTCTCTCTTAATGCTATTGGGTTTGGCTCTTATATAGGTAATCAGGCGTTGCTACAAGTCCTTCGGATGCTGAAGACCGCGATAACAATGCATTCGGAGAGAGATGGCACATGTTGTTCAATGTATTGCTGTTGTTGCTGCTGTGCTCAGGGAAGTTGTTGTGGTCGTTCTGCCGACACTAATCCACTCTTAGCAGAGGTGAACGGGAATCCAGCCCAGCTTCATCGACTCGATGCTGGCGAGGGAACGTCGTCGAGATTATCTGATGACGATATGGTGATCGTTGAACGAAACGTAGTTGATCAACGTGGATGTTTGGAGCGGCTAAAGAGTGAAAATGGCGGACCTTATACAAACGAAGCCGTGGAGGAATTAAAATGGTTCCTCAACACCCTCCTCGTTTTATCAGTAGTCATTCTCTATAACACTATACGGTTTCAGGTGATTGTGACCCAGACGTTGTCTTTCAAATAGAATATTAAATCTGATACAAATGTCATGTAGTAGTTAACTGCAAAAGTTGTAACCAAATTGACTTCCAAATCATTATCAGACTTATTTCATGAGAAATGTTATGAAAGCGGCCTTTTCTTTACAATACACATGTTTATAGGTCTACTTCTCCTGGCTTGTCACGAGGTACCGTCTAAATGATTCTATCTCTCTTATATTGAAGAAATTAAACTGATCATGCTAGAGTCGAGTTCGAAATCATTGTCTTAACCTTAAAGGATTGGCTCCTACGTATTTGACTCGACTGCTTACTACGAAATTAACAAAAACCTTGGGTCTTCCCAAAATGCTATCGTTACTATGCCTCAAATAAATACACAGTTCTATGGGTCATGCTCTGTTAGGGTTGCATCAGCAGAGCTTTGGAATAACTTGCCCGAATATACCAAAAATTAAGTGTGACAATTTGAAAGCTCATCTTAAAATGTTTCTTTTTATAGAAACAATGTCCAATGTTAACTGATGAATTAAGGGAGTATGCCGAGTGTATCTCACTCTTCTCTATTTTACCTTTTTTTTTTCTTTCCTTCTCTCTTTTACAGCGCATATAGGGACATAATTATTCGTAATTATGCGCTATATAAGTATGGTATATTAGTATCATTATTTTTCTCTCATTCTTCCATCATGCTTGACTTCAGTACTCAACGACATATCTGCTCCAAGGAGAGCGAATGGATCTGGAGGGTATTCCAGTAGCTTTCTTAGCTCTCTTTGTACCTCTGTCAGTCATAATCACCGTACCCATCGTCGATCGCGTCGTCTATCCTCTCCTTGAGCGTCGAGGAATAAGAGTCACACTGGTCAAACGAATGGGTAATGTAAAGACTATTTCGTAGCAAAATTCTTTGTCGACCTACCTGAGGATTATACCACATGCATGATTTGTTTTAATGGTGAATAGCTACATTGTACAACTATATGATTGCTCTTGGTAAGACCCATTTACTATAATAATAAAAGGCATTTCTATAGCGCTGCCTATCTAGAAATATTCTATTCCGAGGCGTACTAATTACCCCGGCTTTATCCTATGGCTGCCATTACAGCGCTCCAGCATTTCAAGAAATTAATTCCTGCCAGGTACCCATTTACCTCACCTGGGTCGAGTGTGGCAAATGAAGATTAATGCCTTGCCAAAGGACATTATTGCCATGTCGGGGAGCGAACCACGACCTTTGAATTTCAAGTCAAGTGCTTAAACCACTCGACTACGACACTAATTTTTTAAATTTCTATACTCTAGGGAAAAGTACATTTTGTCCCGGTGGCATTTGGTAATAATATTGCCCTAGGATGGTAGTCCATGAGTAGTCGTCTGGGTTGAGTCTGTAGGGGATACCACACGTACAGCAATAAGTGAATTTAAAAAACGATTTTTGAATCGCCGTCAGTATCTTGCTGTTTGAATCCGATTCTGACTCGGGATTGTAATCTCACTTTTTTGGGGAGCGTGTGAATGCTCCTATAATGATCAATGCAAAATCAATTAAGGGAATTACATTCATTCACTTTTATCTCAGCGATTCCATGTGAAAAAAAATCAGGCAGCGTTGAGTAATCTTCTAAACCATATTTTTGTTTTGATAATGTATTGATTTTGAACATTATGCAGAATTATACAAAACACCATCCTTGCGTGCAAAAGATTCGGGGAGATGTCACATATTTTTATCAATGACAGCTATATATCTCTGATTTTTGTTGTTGATATTAAGTCCCCGCATTATCAAGATTTGACTATGAACCAATATTTAAAGTTCTCTTCATGTAAAGACGAAATTTTAATGACACATTTTAAAACGTTTATTTTGATGTTTCTTGTCATTTTACTTATGATAGCATTTGGTCTCGTATCTGGGCTTCTGTCTGTCTTATATGCTGCCATGGTCGAGATCATTCGTAAACACGTTATCAAAAATGGCGGGAGTCTTGACCAGACAATTTCAGGAGTCATTTTCCATGCTTCATCGCTCTCAATCCTCGTTCAAATTCCGCAATATATTTTCATTGGCATTGCGGATACTTTTGTTCTCATCACAGGTAATACACCAATATATTTTAATCACTACTGAGAAAAGAAGGAAAAGTAATTATTTTAGAAAGATGTTGAGAGAGGTTTTGGGTGTGTTTTTGTTAAAGGGCGGGTGACATCCAGATATAAGTTGATTTTAATTATTAACAAAAATCATTTTCTCAGACCTGCTAAGCTCTACCCTAAAAAAATGCTCCAGATCTCATTATTTTTAAAAATATTAAAAAATCTATGAAATATATGTAGATGTTTGAATAACAAAATATGAGTTGTATGCAGCCCTGCAAATGAACAGGAATCAACCTATATTTGGATGTCACCCGACCTTTAAATACCACTTGCGGTGAATGTCAAGCTTATTTTCCTTTTAATACTAAATAATTTATGCTGATTTCGGGGAGACTCCCCACCCCTTTTCTCATCCAAAACGAAAAAAAAAAGGAATCCCCAAAACATAATGAACATGTTATGGAAAAGCGATAAAGGATTTGTTTAAATTTGCACGTTTAAACTAAAGAATATAAAAGGGGAAATCACCATGCACAGTGAGAAGCAATTGCCCTATATGACTCATGGTGAACTAACTTTCAGAAATGAATTAAATATCAGCCTAAATAATTAATTTTTAATTGATCATGCCCGATTACCTCAGAATGCCTTTTTGTACCATGAATGTTTTGCAATTGCGAACAATAGGCCCCTAGCCACTTCAGGTGTCAACAGACAACAGTTGGTCATACATACAGCAGGCCCATATAAGAAGAGTCCTAGATAGTCTAATTAAATTGGCTCGCCGCTAGTAAAACAAAAGTGATAAACCGTTTTTGTCACGTGTAGCAGAAGAAATTCGTGGGGCAGATTAAGTGCTGGTACCTCCTTGAACATATATTGTAAAAATGTGTAAGTGTAGTACACTTACACATTTGTACTGTACACTTATTCGGAGAAATGCAATATTGCATGATTCGACAAAAATGTTTCCAGATTTAAAAGCTATCCTGACCCTGTTGACCCTGTATATACCCAAAGAACAAATTGAAAACGGACGTAAGCCTGGTCACATTTTTTTGGAAAGGTGGAGTTCATGCCGGAGAACTGACAGTAAAATGAATCTTTGGAACTTATATAAAATAACACACTGAGAAATGGCAAAGTTGATGATTCTGTTTTCCTGCCAACTCATACTCTTTATATTTCTCTTTTCCACGTTGTCATTTCCAGGTCTAGAATTCGCCTTTTCTCAGTCCCCCAAATCCCTTCAAGCATTTATCACCGGGATATATCTCTTTTATAATGGAATCGGCAGCTATGTTGGATCTTTACTGGTTATCATCGTCAACGCTGCCTCCGCAGGTATGTAAACACAAATAATTTATATTCATAATTGTAATATACATGAACTCTAGAAAACAAAAAAGGAGGGGGGTAAATCACCAAATGAAAGGGCCGAGGAGTGACAGCAGTGTAGATTCAAATTGTAATCTAACAATATAGAGACAACTGAGGCCACCATTTGAACGCTGTCACTCTGTGATTTAGAATATTTGCACAAGATCATGATGAGAAGCTACAGCCGTCGGAGAAGTTTGAATTACCAATATTTAGGCAGTGCAGTGGTTTATTTGCAAGTTTTATATCTTATCTAGCAGGGGGCCGTTTCTCGAAACCGTCATAAGACTAACTTCTTAGACATCCCATTGAAACGTGTGATATAGAATTAACACGCGTTTCTATGGGATGTCCACGAACTTAGACTTATGACGCCTTCGAGAAAATGGCGCCAGGGTGTGTCGTGCTATCAGCTTAAGTCATTCTGGCTCTCAACAGACATTCTGTATGCCTACATTTACCGTTTCCTTTTGAAATCATAATCTTGTTTTTACTCTTAGGTCATGAATGGATACCTAATGATATCAACAAGGGCCATCTTGAGTACTACTTTTTCCTCTTGGCTGGCGTCATCATCCTCAACATGGTATACCTCTACTTTATCACCAGGAATTATAAATATGTTTATCAGTACGGCTACGATAGACAGTCGAGTGTATAAATGGGCAAGTCATTTGGTAATTATCTCTCTTATGCATATGTTATCAAGAATGAAAAAAAAAAAAATAATAGACAAAAAGATACACAATGTTCTTCGTTATTTGGTCGAGCCAAGCTAGAGGAGGGCTGTCAACTTGGAATAGTTGGCATAATTATGATGTCGAGAACGTATAGAACAAGATTCCTTAGACTTGCCAAAATATTCAAAAAAACTTTGATATCTAGACATTATTTCAGTGGCGTAGCGAAGATCCACTCCGCGACTGAGAGGGCACCGGTGTCATGGGGGATTGGGGGGGGGGGGGCAAAGTTAAACATGTTGAATGGACTCGACAGGGGGCACGACCCCCTCTCCTCTCGAATGCAAATACAAAAGTGTGAAGACCGAAAGACGGGAAAAAGGGCAGGGGAGATTTCGGAAAGAGTTTTAACATTTTCTTTTCACAATAAGCATCCCCCTCCTCTCTCTCTCTCTCTCTCTCTCTCTCTCTCTCTCTCTCTCTATCTATCTATCTATCTCCGTCTCTCTGTCTCTGTCTCTTTCGGTCTTCCCACTTTATTATCATTATTATTAATCATGCCCCCTGCATAATTATCTACGCCATTGTAAACAATGATCAATCAAATATTAACATTGGGGCGTTATGCTTTCGTGAGATTGGTTCTCATGAGGCCTTTATTGTTCATAATGGTATTTAATAATGGTTCGGAACATTCCACTGGTATTCTAATTGCCAAATGTACGTATACTCATATAGAAAAAAACCTTGATCACAATTAGTGGCCTTTGGACCAAATTTGGTGTATAACGTTTTAAAAATATTTATATATTTATATATAAATATCAGCTTATAGCGCATATACTGGCAGAAGAGTCTTAATTTGATCAATTTACTGTTATTATAAAGTTACATTTTGACAGTTTACATTCATTTACAAAGAAATGTGTAACATTAATTTATAACAGGTGCACAGCCAAGGCGTGGTTTTCTCTCATGGAAAAAAAATAATTATACAGAGAAAGAAATATCAATATGTAAAGGGGCATAGATTGAATGTTCGAAGTCCGTATTTACATTACGTTTGAATTAATGTCAAGAACGGGTATAGAGGGTGAACTTATGAATCTGTTATTATTATATATATCATATCTATTATAATCACTTGTCACTATCTAAATAATATTGGGTATATATTAGTAAGGGTATGCATCATAAGCACTAGTTTTCGATGGGAATGGAGAATATTGTTCTTTTCTATAGAAAAGTAATTTCCTGTACTGTATCATTAAATTACAGCAGGTGCACAGCCAAGGTGTGGTTTTCTCTCATGGAGAAACATTATAAAAAGAGAGAAAATAAATATGTAAAGCAGTATACATTTCAAATTCGAAGACAATAAGCGATGCAATGTTCAATTTTCAATTATCTGCGCACAATCAATGCATAAAAACAGGCAACCAATTCAGTGCCACTAATTATGATGAATAATCGCATTGTCTCTTACTGTTTTATATAATGATATTTACATATAGGGGCCTATTATGAGGCTCAATTGTAACCTTGTCAGTTCATTTTGATTCGATTATAATCACGTAACTGTTTGGGTAAGTGTGGGTAGTTGGATACTGTCATTTGAATTGTTAGTGAGAAAATGCGAGTCCAGAATAATCAAATTCACACGGAATATAGAGGATAGAAATATGGACATGCCTTACGTATTTACATTAGGTTTGAAAATAAAATTTCAGAAACGAGTTAGAGTGTGATCTTATTAATCTGCATTATTCCTTTGGATTTATTCCAATGATTGGGAATATGTACTTTTCTAAACAATAGTTTATTCTCTGTACTATACTAGCATATCATTTCCTTTGCTATCTAGTTCCCCCCCCCCTCTCTCTCTCTCTCTCTCTCTCCATCTTTCTCTTTAGAATCCTCTTTCTTATCCGCTTGCTATCTCTCACTTTGTCCTCATTCACCTAGTCCCCCCTCTCTCTCTCTCTCTCTCTCTCTCTCCATCTTTTTCTTTAGAATCCTCTTTCTTATCCGCTTGCTATCTCTCACTTTGTCCTCATTCGCCTAGTCCCCCCCTCTCTCTCTCTCTCTTTCTCCATCTTTCTCTTTAGAATCCTCTTTCTTATCCGCTTGCTATCTCTCACTTTGTCCTCATTCGCCTAGTCCCCCCCCCCTCTCTCTCTCCCTCTCTTTCTCCATCTTTCTCTTTAGAATCCTCTTTCTTATCCGCTTGCTATCTCTCACTTTATCCTCATTCATCTCTCATGGTCCCCCTCTATCTGTCTCTCTGTCTCTCTGTCTGTCTCTGTCTGTCTCTGTCTCTCTCTTCCTCTTTCTCATCCACTTTCTCTTTCTCTCTCATTCGGTCTCTTTTCCCAGTCACTATATACACCCCTCTCTTTTCTTGTTCATTAGAGTCTCTATTCTTCTCATCTCTTTATGACCCTAAAACATCGATTTGACCCACTGCAGTCTTCCAGATGTAGTTTGTAAATAAGAGTAGACCTCCATACAAATGGTTTGGAAGTCAATTCATATTTGATTAAAGAGTCATAAAAAGTGTAGTCCATTTCAAACTTTCCCTTTGTGATCTTTTATTTCGTGTAAATCTGTAATTTGTATGATGATGTTGTACCTCCATGCCACATTGAAATACCACATACGACCTTTGAGAGTTGATCCTCTAAAATAGGGAAACATAGCTCTTCCAATATAAAAACTCTCAAAGCAGAGACATCAATTAAATAAACACCAAAGATAATGTTCAAAATCTCAATGCATTTCAAAAGGATTAAATAAACATTACAGTCATTGTAATTTTTAATATTACGTCTGAATGATGATGTTAAAAAAAGGGATATTACATACCATAAGTAATTGAAATGAAATTAGAGGTGCATCTTACATTGTTGAAGCATTTCTCTTTGGTTAAACTAACACACTATAAAGAGTAAGCAAAGGAAATGTCTTCTGTATGCTAAAATGATAAGTTTCCTTTAGTAACACCTATTTGCTTTCTGTAATATGCAGCATGACCTGAACTCGCTACTATGACCTACAAATTAAATTTTCTTAAAGTGTTTTACAATGTATCTTAGTAAATTCTGCTATTTATAACTGTGCTATGTTCAGTCATATTTGATTAACTTTATAATTTGTGTTATTTTCAATTATTAGACTATAAGTGTAATTACTAATACAATATTAAACCTTTGTGAAATATAAAGAAGATAACACACCTACACATTTGAACCAAAATTCCTGCAGAATCAATTGCCACTGGTTCAAGAAAAAAATGAAAAGTTACCTAAATAGAAAAATTTCAGATTAAAAAAAAGACAGTGACGGTAAAAAATACTATAAAAAGACATCACCATAAATTTAGTTGTTGCTCATACTGACTTCTCAAAATGAACCATAAATCATAAAAACAAAGAAAAAACAAAACACAATGCATCTTCCACAAAACTAGAAACTTTATCCGACGACTTACAAAATGTACTTGCTACCTCCTTCCTTGATTTAAATTCAGATGAAATAAATGTGACTTCGTTAGCTTGTCTGCAAGACACAAGCTAACAAATTTAACATAATGCATTCACATAGAGTCAAGGGTCATCCACAGCGGCTTTTAACACAGACTTTATGAAAATTCACGGGCTTTATGAGAAAAAAAAGTTACTTGTAGGCAGTGGCGTACCCAGGATTTAGAAAAAAAAAGGGGGGGGGGGGTATTTTGTACAAAAAAAAAATCCAAGCCGAGACCACGTACCTTCAAAATTTTTCAGAGTATCAGATATTTTTACTCATGGTGTTTGGGAAATTCAAACAAACGTAAATAATTATTTACCGTGAAATAATTTACTCGTAACGTTTGAATATTTGAATTTGCAAAAAGCTTTCTTTAGATGCTTGGTTAGAAGAAATAAGACACTATCATGATAATCTTAATAGGCAAATAGTACCCGAAATAAAATAAAAACTTTTGCACATGAGAAGAAAAAAAAAATCGCAAAAACCTGCATACTGTAATTGACATTGCAAATCACATTCTCTCAAACACGTATGCAGGTAAAGTTGGTGATGCAATATATATATATATATATATTTTGATTATTTAATAAAAAAAGGTTCTGATTCAGGAGACCACTTTGTACTTGTTGATTTGTATCTTGGTTTGTAAGTATGTATATTTTGTTCTGAAAATTGAATATTTCAAACTTCTGGGCTGCATGTTCAATGTTTGTTATCATGATAACCGATTCAATCAATCAATCATTCAATCAATTAATCAAAACCACCGGAATAATCTACAATTAACAACTAAATTATGAATCCCCTTATCAAGTTTTGTAATTTTGTGAACAAATTGATTTGTCCCGATTTATGTTTCTTGCGAATATCTAAAATTATTCAAACAGAGGCCATATTTTAACCAGGTCGCCTTTTATTCTTGAGTTACGAATAACAAAAAACATCAAATTTACAAGGGGTATGAATAATTCAGTTGTTATGTTCAGAATAAAGACTCAGAGTCAGGGTCATGTGGTATGGAGCATGTCACATTAATTTCATACATTCACAAACGACAATAGGTGCAGAATATAAACACACAACGCATCACTTAATAACTAATTTTGAGGTTTTTTCGAGGTAAGAAAACACTAATCTGACATTGATATTATATAACTGTACATTACCTGTTGAACAGATTCGTGAGAGGGAATATCCCTTTTTTCTCAAAAAACTACCCTTTGAGCAGAAGAGTATGTTTATATAGTAGCTGCACTATATGTAAATTGATCTAGCTCTTATTATCATTGAATATTCATACAAAGTCTATTTACATTAATGTACGTAATCGGGCCAACATATTCAACACAATACAAGGATGTAAATTATTAATGCTTAGATAACATTGTGTAGTGCATAACGTGTGCAATAGGCAGATGGCGACAGAATTCTTGAATCCTTATCATGTGCGATCGTAAAAAGAAAATATTACGGGTTATCTGTTTAACGTCTGTAAGTTCCTTATAATAATGTCTAAATTATGGCCCTTTTTATTGTGCGATCCATTTATAAAGAAGAATCCTTGAAGCCCATATCATGTGCGGTCGTAAAAAGAAAATATTGCGGGTTATCTTTTTAACGTCTGTAAGTTCCTTATAAAAATGTTTGAATTACGGCCCCTTTTATCTGTAAGTAGTATGCTGTATTTATGTAGTAAAGCGAGAAGAACACAATGATGCAGATCGGTGAGGCGAGTTTGTGTACAATGTATATCATCCAAAATGTCATAAATGATTATGTGACGAAATTGTAGCTGTCACAAGGACGCCATAGGAAGGAGCTCATAATGTTCCTCCAGTCGAAATAAGAGTGTCTTTTCATGTATACTGGTCTGCTAGCCGCAACAAGTCCAAGCCAGAAGATCTCCATTTGTATAATCTAGATTGTAGATTAGAGAGAGAGAGAGAGAGAGAGAGTGAGAGAGGGGAGGGAAGTGGATAGGGAGGAAGGGGATCGAGGGGGAGGAGAGTGGGGGAGAAAGAGAAGGAGGGAGAGACAGAGAGAAATAGAGGCAAACAGAGAGGGAGGGTGAGAGAGAGAGAGAGAGAGAGAGAGAGAGGGGAGTGAGATATAAAACCAGAGACAAAGATATTATTACAGTATCGTCATTATCATACATATAAATATAAATATAAATATTATTATGGATATCTTTTGCTTTTGATGATATTATTGCTACGTTATCATTATAGCCAAACGTGAAACGCACATCAAGGAGTACTTACCTGACGATTTGACAAGATTGTGTAGTGTCAAATCGCCACGATCACGGGCAGCCATCCAGCGTTCTGTTGAGATGGCTGACCAATCGGTGGTCGACGAGGAGCTGACAAACTTCCCTTCAAGGTACGTCTTCGAGTCACGCCCGATGGCATACAGGGTGTCACTCACGTTATGGTAGGCGACGACATCGCCAATGTACAGCGGGAAAGCTAAAGTTGAAAAGAATGAGAGATTTATACGTATTTATACGTACGAACGATTATTTCCTACGAATCTCCCTGTCTTTCCATTGTCTTCCCGAATTTCCATTGTCTGAAAATCGTTCGTACGGCGTTCGTAGCAGTTCGTAATGGCATTTGTGACCGAGGCTTAACCCTGAAAATAATGACCCTCGTTGATGCCATCGGGAGCCACCGGGATTTTAAATCTTACGCCAAAGCCAAGACAAGAAACAGTTATTTTCATCAACAGGGCATCTCATTCCCGAAAAAGAGACGATAATACTAGTATCATTTTTAAAGGGTAAAGCAACAAATATACGTGATTCTATTCGCAAATGACGAAAAGAAAATATTCTTCAATGTCAAATTGTTTATAACTATTTATATTTAAAAAAAACTTAATTATTTTTACAGGATCCTTTTTTAGAAGCTTACCTTTCCATGTACTTGATAGTGCAGGGCGTGAAAACACACAACTGGGTTCAGAAGAACTGAAGTTAAGAAGATACGATTATACAAAACCATCATTATTATTGTATTTGCTTTTAGTGCATTAGATTTGACAGTCTTAATTATATCTGTTATGATTCATTAAAAAAATAAAATCATATGAACTTATTATTCCTCTTTCCTCTTTGCTCCCTACCCCTCCCCTCCCCCCTCTCTCTCTCTCTCTCTCTGTTTCTCTCTTTCTCTCTCTCTCTCTCTCTCTCTCTCATTCTGTCTCTCTCCATTCTTCCATTCTCTTCCCAAACTGTTTTCATTGACTAATACAATTTATTTATTTATTGATGCCAAATATCAAACCGTAAGGGTTACATACACATGATACATTGTAAAAATAAATTGCAAATCCTAATCAATTCACCGGTCGAGTTTGAAATTAGGGTATAATTTTGGATATGGCAGGTGATATACTCTAAAGTTATTTGGATTGATGACAAACAAATTAAAGGAATACCTTATCTCAACGTTGTTGCAGGCTATGCGAAGACCAGTGTCATCGGATAGTATGCTCCGATCGTAGAATTCTAATCAAAGTCAAACCATACAAAAAATCATCATCAAAGTTGTGCTTGAAATGTCTGATTTACATTTTGTTAAACGCTTATTAAGTATATCAGTCGCTGCAAACGAGGTCTCGTTTCGATTGCGTTATTACTTCTGCCTATGAAATTGTGTGAGTGTTAACACGAGTAATTTAACACAATCTTTGCAATGTTCATTTTGCTTTGCACTTTGTGTACAATGATATTCTCACATGCATGGCGCGTCAGAGACCGTGCTGACGTAGTCCTACATCAGACAAATGACGGCTCGCGTTCAACGAACATAAAGACATTTATTGCATGCGCCAAGAATTAAAACGCAATGTTTGAAATTTTCATTTTTCATTCACTTGATTACGATACAATTTTCACATGACTTGTCAAAGGCGGTGCCAGTTCCTGACACATTCCTTTCCGTCAAAATATGACGCATCACGTGCAACGGGCATGATGAAATGCGCTAGGACATGCGCCAGGAATTAAACGCAAAGTCTGCAATATTCACATTCTGCATTCATATTGTTTAAATCTCGCACGGTGCGTCAAAGACGACGCTAGTCGCTGACGCAGTGCCTTACGTCAGCAAAATGACGCCTCGTGTGTCACGGGCATTTCTGAAATGTTTATTATACCTTCCAGGGGGCATTGTGATGAATCTTGAGCACAGACGTGACTGCCCGGTGCGTCACAAGTGGCAGTTCCTGACTTGCAGCATGCACAGCTAGACTCGGATGAAGGATAGTTACAAGGACAGGTCCAACCGTCCGTCAAAGCTTGCCCAGCCTGGGGTACGCCATGGAATTGATTCTTTCTCTCCTCTGGTGGTGGATCTACACGTGAAACATCAGTTACAGAAATATGATGTTAGCCCTTGTAAACATTCATTTCAAGATTTAAAAAAAAAGCTTAAACCACATAACAATCAATCAGAACTAGCAATAGACGTTGTATTGTAAAATTTCCTACCGTCAGGACAACTTTTACTGTACACACGTAATCCACCCCCCCCAAAAAAAAAATAAATAAATTAGTGATTCCTTTACACAATTATCCACCAGTTGAGAAAATAAAAGAAATTAATTCAGAGCTTTATCCTGAACCGACAAATACATGGGGTTATCTCGAATAATTTGTCTATTTAGATAAAAAAATTATTCCAGAATGTGATACGAGAAGAGATTTTTATTGTAACATTTAATAACTGCATAACCCTTGTAAAATTGATGTTTTCGTGTTTTTCGTTACTCAAGAATGAATGATGGACTGGTTGAATTAGGGCCTCTGTTGAATACTTTAGGATTCAATCCTTAACATGTCACATCATCAAGAAACATACGTGGGGGGAGGGGGAAATTCTTCACATACTTAAAAATCACAAAATTTTGTAAGGGTCTGAATAAATTAGTTGTTAACTGTACGTACCGATTCTCATTTTGGGATATTGTCCATTGGATGTGTGTATTGTGGGCAACTCTTGTACTAATATTGTATGGGTTGAAGGAAAATATTTTCATGAGTAGAACTTCAACACAGTAAAAGTTTATAGTCTCCCCCATAATGACAATTAACTGACCGATATCACATTTGATAACATGTGAAATCTTGATAAGTAAATTGGTTACTGTTGTAATTTCGTTACTCACCAATCGATGTTTCACAAATGAAATATCTCAAATCTATGCAAGAAGTTGTTTCCATGTCCCCATTCTCAATTCCATCTGACCAATAGGATCCTTCAACGACCAAGCTTCTACATGCACCTGCTGCATCTGGTTGCCCTGGTAACCAATTTGTGTACTGATAATGGGAATAAATTTTTGAAAACATGAATGGAAAGTTGTAAGGAATGTGATAGTTCTCATAATGTCCTACAATGGCAACAGAAGAATACCAATACACTAATTCCAGTACAACCTGATTAAAGGGGCTTTAGTAAACATGCAAAAACATAACTTTATGATAAACATCCTGTATCTATCAATAGTGTCATACTTTAAAGTAAAAAAATTATAAATTAGGGAGATTATTAGCACTGTTATTGCACAGCCTTTAGGTATGATGAATTGATTCAGCTGTCGTGTGTCCGGCAGAGGGGACCAACATCCTCCTCTCCTGTATTAATTGAATTGCAGGGCATGATTGTGTGCTTCTCTTTGCATGTTTGTTGATAAACAATACGAAGAAGAAGAAGAAGAAGAAGAAGAAGAAGAAGAAGAAGAAGAAGAAGAAGAAGAAGAAGAAGAAGAAAAGAAGACGAAGAAGAAGAAGAAGAAGAAGAAGAAGAAGAAGGAAGAGGAGGAATAGAAGAAGAAGGAGGAGGAGAAGGAGGAAAGGGGAGGAGGAGGAAGAAGGGAAGAAGGGAAAGGAGACGACGAAGAAGATGGAGAAGAAGGAACAATTAATTAATCAATTCTCTCATAATTACCGTTGAATTTTCATGTATCCAAAACCGAAATGGACTGAGGTCCTTTGGCGAAATATCGACCAAGAATCTTTCCTCGAATATGGAATCGATGGATGCTAGAGCCCCACCCTCCTCCTCACATACCTGTGCTGCGACATTGGCGTTGACGAGGCCTGATGCGTTGGCATAGTAACAGGATGAGAGGAACGGTTGCCAGGGAGTTTTACACGGAACTGTAAAGATACGTTTATCATCTTACGATGCGCATTCTTAAAGTGTACAACAGAATTTAATGCTACATCGTTTTCGAAAAAGAAAAAAAATATGACTGATTCATAAATTATCTAACCATTGACAAAGATTTTTCGGCACATTAAACACTGTTGGTGAGACTTTATGTTATATATTTTGAATTTTGTATCAAAACATAAATACTTAAATCACAGGAATTTTCTTTAGCCTAAAGGGACTATTTAAACACTCTGTTGCAAATTTTTAATCTGGCATCGAACTATCGATTTCAAGGTATGCTGAAATATCGCGGCGAACGTGCAGAGTGGGAAAGGAGGGATAAGATTATCTTTTTTATAATTATTATTATTGTTATCATTATTTATTTATTTATTCTTTATTATTATTATTATTATTATTATTATTATTATTGGTTTTTTTTTTTTTTTTTGGTTTCGTTTGGGGGGGGGGGGGCTACAAAAATTATAGGCGTCCTTCCAAACCTTTTGTATGATACGCCAATGGAGGTTTCAACATACCGTATTTATCTGCGTATTGAAACTGTACGTCTACCATGGTTGCTTGTCCAATGGTTGTTGAATTAGTATCATTCTTGTACACGGCCTGAGCAAGAATCACCATCTTAGATACTCCTGCTTTCATGTTGGTATGATTTACTGTTATGTTTATCGATAACTCGACAGATGAGAAGAGGTCAACGGCTCCAATCTATCAGGATTGAATAATGATAAGAGAGAGAGAGAGAGAGGGAGAGAGAGAGAGAGAGAGAGAGAGAGAAATAAAATAATATATCGTCAAGTATTAATTTTGAGATGCTAAGAATGTTAACATTACTAACAGCTGACATAGAATTCTTTAAATATAACATCGCTTATATAATTATTAATTTATCATCTTCAGTAGATGTGTAGCTAGTTTGAACTATATATATATATTATACGGATTGGCCAAAGTGGAACATATAACAGTCCTCCACTAGTATTATTTGCGTTTGTGTCTGATAAAAGACATAAACGAATACCACCAAATTCCTGTGTTGTGTATGTCTCCGCCTAGCGAAGGTGGTGCCGCATTCAATAATGCTCAAGCACGCATCACTTTATTTACGTGTCTAGATCTTATAGTTACTTTGAAACTAAACTTCTTAAACATAATTTATTCAGGGAATGTATAATATTGCAGTGGCGGAACCAATTTTAGAGGGGAATAGAAGGAGGAAAGTTGGTAGCCCCGCATTGGCCTTCAAATGGGAAGTGATGGGGAATGGGGCGTACGCCGGCTACATTCTGCACTGAATACGCCAAAGCACTGAATACAGTCCTTTCACCTTGAATATGACGAAAGAGTCATCGACGGTAGGAGGTTGTGTGAGAACACTGAGTTTTGAAACGCCCTGGTAAGATGTACGTGGAGACATAATCAGGTGGAGCTCTAATTCTTCGGCCGAAGCTCTGGATAATGAGTTATGCTCGAGATGAACTTGCATCATGGCATCATAACTGTGATGATAGCATGTTTTGATCAGGAGTAGATGAAAATAGATAGAAAGATAGAAAGAGATATATACAGAGAGAGAGAGAGAGAGAGAGAGAGAGAGAGAGAGGAGACAGAGGTACGTCAGACAGAAACAGAGACAGCAAATTATTAATGCATTTATAAACTAACAAAATGAGAACCTTATGGCTTACTGCTACTAGGTCGAGCGTACAAACAAAATTAATTCAGTTCTATATAGCTAGACCAAAGTTTTGAATAATATATTCGCCATTCGCCTTATGAATATCTTCATGCATATATAATATCTACTTTCTGTACAGGCCTATTTATTTACGCAATATTTGTCAAATGGGAAGTTTTGTTATATGAAATCAAACTTTGAAAGAATGCTCGTCCCCCCCCCCTCCCCCCAGGGAAAAACAATCAATGACCGTTATCCAAACTACACTACAAGGAATAGTAGGGGAAAACTCTGGGGAAGTGAGACACTTGTATTCCCAATCATTTATAGAGGGTCATATGCAATAAGTGTTATTTTCTCTTCCAAAGCACGAGGGGAGTGGTTGCAGAACACACACTTATATATTCCTAACAATGGTTATCGGACATACCCATTGTAAAGACTGTGTGTCGTCATCATCGGATGAACGTCCATGACTGTCGAACGTGGATCTCCGTCGTCGCTTATATTAAAAGAAATCGTTGAAGTCCAAATATGAGATCGAGCCGTTGCCATGGATACGCCTAGTTGAGCTGTATCACCATCACTAACATCGTCATCGCCGAATCGGATCTTGGCTTGCAGCACGAGATCATTAACCTCTGAATGATCACCATGTATGCTGACTTCGTCATCGAAAAATCCAAGCCTATAAACTTGTGGGTATACCGCCTGTGTTTTTGTGCGGCAGTTCTGACCCGCAAACTTTGACTTGCAGACGATCCGCGATGACGCAGTGGTGATCGCCAGGTCGTTGACGGCAGTGGCATTGATACTTTCATTTGTCGGCCCTATGTCGACTTCCAATTCAACATTACTTTGTGGAACCATGGCGACAATGTTGATCCGGATCTCTTCTCCGATGTCAACGGAATTTCGATTAACGCCATCGTAGGATTCGTCGTCTGCATTGGTGAGATTTATTTTTGGCGCCAAAAGAAGAAGAGAATTGCTGTACAAAATGTCCGACTGCACCAACAACGATGGGTTCTGGTATGATGAATTAACTTCACATGTAATCGTCGCGGCGGGATTTACTGAATCTATAAGGAAGATGTAAATAAATACACCAGAATAAATTATACATACTCTCAATGTCAATAGATCATGACGTAAGCTATCGTCATTGTGTCACATAATACTTTCTATTAAATACTTATGCATTATCTTCTAATAGTGATCAACTACACTGTAGGGTACCGACATGGAGTTTAGGGTGATGTGGAAATGGTGTGCTTTATATTAAACATAATACCAAGTGAAGAAAAAAGAAAGACTGAAATAGGTAATGAGATCATACTGCCCGTTGCATACGAGGCTGATGCGTCATCTTGCTTGAGCAAATCCATGCGCCAATCAAAGCCTCAAAAGGTAGTCGGGTCATATGCGGGTAAACATTAACGGTACGTCTACTTTCGCATTTTTCAATTTAGGTTTTGTACGGTCTCAAGGTCACTTGGTGCGTCAGTCAGAGACCACGCCAGGCACCTACACTCTAACAAAATCAAGTGCTAATTTTAGCACCTCAAGATTTGGAGGCATCACCTGTAAGGGCACGCATAGGGACTGCCCAAATTGTGTCAACACCAGTCCAAGTGCTACTTTAAACACTTTAAGTGTAAGCCTTTTTACACTTCTGGTGCTATTAGACGCATGCAGCTCGCAAAAACCACACTTCTAGTGCATTGAATAACCCCTTTTAGAGCCCCCAAAACGACACTACTATAGTGCTAACACTTTTGCACCCAATATAGTGCTAAAGAACACACACAAACAGCATGCACAAAAGTTTCAAGTTTCAAGTTTCAAGTTTTATTTATCTTTCTTTCATAACACACTTTACAAATATGACATGAATATAACAAGTTTACAGAATATGGCGTTACAAAAGAAAGATGAGGTGACCTTGGTTGAAAGCAAGGCTTGTGGATTTAAGGTCCCTCATGAGTAGCTTATGAATAAAAGAACAAAACTCGTCAGATAAGAATAATGTATACATTTAAGTGCTGACAAACTAAACTAACTAAACAACTGATAAAATATAAACATAAATAAGTATAATAAAATAAAATCTACTGACTACTAAATGATGGCTATAAACAAAAGAAACAGGAAAATACAACGAGAAACAGGACTGAAACACAGACAAAAACAAAAAAAGACAGACAGATGAATAGATGTGAGAGATGGGACTAGAATTATGCTGACCTATATAGTAATTAATTTTCTTAAATATTGATCACAACTATAAATCTAGACGATATCGACTCAAATATAGTAACTTCAGTTTGCGCTTAAATACATAAATACTGACTGATTGCGCTATTCTTGGTTCAAGGGAATTCCAAAACCTAGGTCCAGTGGACCCCACAGTAGTAAGGGCAAATTGCGTTCTAACAAGAGGCAAGTGATATGCTTGCGCCTGACGTGTGGAATAACTATGAACTTGGTTATTTTTCTTAAATATTCTAGCCAAGGCTACTGGCAGTAGACCTGCATTCAATTCATACATTAGAGCTCCTAGTTGTAAATGATAAATATCTTCAACTTTCAAAACACTACTATTATAAAAAAGAACATCTGTATGCGCAAGATAGTGTGTATTACAAACAATTCGTATTACTCTTTTCTGTACCAGTAGTAATTTATCCATTTGAGATTTGAACGAGTTGCCCCAAGCTAGCACACCATAGTACAAATATGGCAAAATTAAAGTTCCGTACAACATACGTAAAATATTCAGTGGGAACACAGATTTCAATTTATAAATTACACCAGTATTTCTTGACAATAATTTACAAAGTTTACTAATATGATACTTCCAATTTAAATGTTCATCAATATGCAGGCCAAGAAATTTAAATGTAGATACTCTTTCAATCTCAACACCATTGAACATTATATTTCCTAAAATTACACCTGTAGTGCTGACAACTCACCCTCCTACTCAGCCCTAACATTATTTTCAGCCTACTTTAAGCACCTAAAACATACACCTCAAGACGTCACATGTCACACTCATGGTAACGAATGGGTATACGCAGACACGCGTCAGGAAATGGCGTCTCATTTGCAACGGACATTAGAAGAACGACATACCTGGTATAAACCATTGTGTTATCCATGAAAACTCCAATACATCGTTAAGTTCTAGTGTCATCGGCCCAAACGTTGTACTGATGTTATCATAACCAACTTGACTGATGGTGGGCTGTTAAGAGGGATATAAAGAGAAATAAAGCGAAAGATAGAGAGAGAGAGAGAGAGAGAGAGAGAGAGAGGTGGAGAGAGAGAGAGAGAGAGAGAGAGGGAGGGAGAGGTAGGGGGGGGGGGGGGGGGGGTAGAAGAGCAAGACAAACAAATGATGATTGAGAATGAAGAATAAGAAAAAGTAGAAGAACACGGTACAGACAAAACAAAATTTAGTAATAGAAGAATAATGTATATTTAGCATGGGGATAAAAAACGAAAAGGAGAGGAGGAAAATAATAACGGAGAGTACATAGTACTTAAAGTACATCAAAAGTAATACATTACACTAGTTTAGTGACTTTGCAGCTGTGATCCATCTTATTCTTCTCACATTTAATTGATTGTGGGACTACTCTCATTGAAAGTATAAGGTCTACAAATTGGAGAACAAAATTAATATTACGAATTATGTACAAAATCAAAATTACATAAAGTTGGAAAGAGTATCCTAAGGATCATAAACAATGATTCGTCGATTTTGATGAAACCTCCAATATTATAAAGCAAAGTCATCTTTTCAACGATTTATACGGTGATTGGTGCTTACCACAGGTATTGATGAGAAATTTGGCAAAACATCCGTTGTCGAATTCAGCTATAAAACAAAAGAAAACAAAGCAATAATTTCTATCAACCTGAATATGCTTACTTTATTTGCTTATACAAGTAGTATTTTTTTTATCATTCTACATGTTTAGTCGAAAATGATATGTTATAAATATGATAAAGGAAATAAGCATTATGATGATTCAAATGATTTTATTTCTCATGCAAAACATAATGCAATGAATAATTATATATTACCAAAATATGCAATGAAACGACAAATATAATAGAAAAAGCACGAGAAAAGAGGAACTAACTAGAAGCAGAGCTTGTCGAAGTGTTAGTTCCTCAGATGCTGTTTTACAATAGTAAGTGAATTATTGTTAAAGAACTGTAAAGTTCAGTTTATATCATGCCTAGTACATCTGTTTGTCGTATTCAATATAATTTATGTAAGATCTATCATGACAAGAACATGTCGCCTACCTTTGCATTTGTGCACTCCAGACTGACGTTGACATGAGTTAGCTCATCCGAGGCGGTAAGAGAAGCGTTCACTTCTACCACTACGTCATCCCCTCCCACAACCGCCACCCCGGTGAGAGGGGTAATAGCCACAGACCCGCTCAAAGTGGTAGCTGTAACTAAAAGACAAATTTTTGCGTTTGTCTTAATTTCCGTCATACAGTAAACAGAAACACAATGAACAGAAGAACTTACTGACTGAAACACATCGAACTGAACGATTAGTGCAATAGTTAATTGAGGTATATTACAAGAATGGCATTATAATAAGAAAACTAACCTTCATGATTTATAAGCCCCATTGCCAATATAAGAAGAATCGCAGCTCTCTCTGATTTGCCCATCTTGACGGTACCGCTGCATGGATGACTTTTGGTTATGTTCAGGTTCAACATCCCTTCTAAGAAAACATATCTACTAAATTTCAAACGTAATATCAGAGACGCCCCGCCTCATAAAAAGAAATCAATAGAAAATAGGGCGCTTTTCAGATTTTAGGTCAAATTAGGAATACACCGCTACGACGCTTATTATAAACTCTTTGTCTTGCCTCCACCGATAATCAACGTGCAACCCATATATTGATTTTCGGACGAAAAATAAACGTTTGAGCTCGTTATTTATGGGCTAGTAGTGTTCATTTTTCATTTGTCTTCAAATAACGTGGTCATAATTCGAACGTAAAATCCATAATGATTTCTTTGTACTATAAAAGATTGAAGGTCCCGTTGACATTTTGAGTATTGTATCCAAATTCTTCTACTACTGCTCATGTTTATTTTGATTGTTCAATTGCATCTATCATATGACATTAATAAGATTGATTTGTGTCAAATGTCTCTATCTGAAAGAAGAACTACAGGGAGCAAGAGAGAGAGAGAGAGAGAGAGAGAGAGAGAGAGAGAGAGAGAGAGAGAGAGAGAGAGAGAAAGAAAGAAACAGAAAAATAGAGGGAGAGAGAAAGAAAGAGAGAGAAAGAGAGAGAAAGAGAAAGAAAGAAGGTGGAGAGAGGGGTAAAGTAGGAGAAGAAGAAGAAGAAGTAGAAGAAGAAGAAGAAGAAGAAGAAGAAGAAGAAGAAGAAGAAGAAGAAGAAGAGAGAGAGAGAGTAGCAACTGGGAAAAAAGGAGGTAGAGTGTCTATAGAGACATTATGTACATGGTAACATTTTAAAATGTTATTGATGTAATCAAACGGGAGAGAACAGCAAAGTGAGATGAGGTAAAATATAAACAATCCCGGTCACAATAACAAACTGGTCGATATAGAGAAAAACGGGAGATAGCGATAACCATATGTCATGACCAAATTTGGTCTCTCCTAACATATGGATCAATATCCCTCATTAATACCTCAGTCATTATTGCAGTGACATTAACTGAATTATAAGTACACATATTGCCTTATTATTCCATATAACCCCTAATTTCACCGTTCTATTGCTACAATTACTGCGATGCCATGATTATCAACCTATTATTTGAATCATCACCATCCACACAATTTATGATGATCATTATTGAAATTATTATCATCATCGTCGTCATCTTTTATCATCGTCGTCATCGTAATCGAAGTCATCATCATCATCATTGTCACCAAAATCATTTAATCATCATCATCATCATCATCATCATCATTATCACCATCATAAACAACAGATGTATGGACGCAGTTATCATGGTTGTTACCAGTTGGTTTCAGTTTCGGTCTGAGATTTTGTGCTCTGGTACTTTTTGTTTTTAGCCCCCTAAAAACAGGGTATTTCATTTCAGTCAGAACTTTCCTGCTAACATCATAAAGAATAATATAGATTCAGGAACAATCTTCGAGTTGTTAATGAAGACCATTGACACTGCCATTATTCACTGAAGCTTTAAAAGAGCCATTCAGTAATTACAACAGTTAACTAAATTTAATGTTAATTGTACAAATCCATTATTACGATCATCCACCTAAGCCTTATCCTCCACCTCCTCTTTCCCCTCATCATATCATCGCCATGACCAATACCATCATCATTACTGTCATAATAACAGCAACATCATTATCATTATCATCGTCACCACCATCATTGCCATTGCCGTCGTCATCTTTACCATCATCATCATCATCTTAATCATGAACATCATCATCATCGTCATCATCCTACTCATCTGAATACCACCATTGTCATCATGGTTATCAAGATGCGATCAGTATCATTTTTGTTCACTATCATACAATCTACACTTCAAAAAAATATGTAATTGAATGTCAAATATTTGTAAAAACAACATAGTAATTTATTTACACACAAAATATTCACATTTGGCTTGAGTGTGAGCTTCTTTCCCATTTCTTTTATGTAAGAAATAAATAAGTAAGAGAATAATTATTTCACAATAACAGTGTAATAGTAAAGAGACAACTGAAAAAATTGACTGTAATTACTCACTTCTTTTCCATTGCCTGTTATTTTGAGGGAAAAGGCAATTTAAATGACACTAAAAAACATACAAAAATTGAAAAGTTTGAAAGGATGAGAGATAGGAACAATACAAAGAGTAAAGTAAATGAAATAGTCCATTATTCATAGAAAAATTGTGCCTCATATTAAGCTAGTCTTTGCCTAACAATTCAGAGTATATTGAACAGTTTGAAGTAGAAGCCTAATTTCATCAGTAAATATATTTAGTAACATGGCTCTTGCAAGACAATAAAAATCTTTGAAATGTGTAAGACCAATTGCTTTATTTGCACCACATTCATTCAAACCAACCACATTAATGATTAACCCCTTGTTAATAATGACAATCACGTTTTGAAGAGAGATCATAGGTAAGAATCAAAGCCCTCCCAACGATTAATGCAATCTTTCCTTTTGGTAAAGTTTATCAAATGTATGTGTAGTGGATATGCATTTCCTATCTTAGATGTCAGTGATCAGAACAGCAATACATCAAAGTCCTATTTCTGAATCATCAGCAGCCGAATACAATTGAGAGTCCCCACAAAAGAAGGTCTAAATCCAAACAGAATGGGAATTTCAACTTCAGCAGAAGATAATATGACATGTGTGTGATCCCAATCTAAGTATAGACCATCAAACAAGAGATCCATACACAGAATATCTTCCTAAGGCAGCAAATTACATTGATATCCAGTTGTAGAATGGTAGTTCCAAATCATAGCGACCTTGTTAGTCCAGACTCCAGAGAGTACTAAAAACTTTGGACCTGATGAGTCCCAAAGGTTCACAAGTGTTCAGGTGTTAGCATTGGCCTTATTAGCTCTAAGAATAGCTCCTGGACTAGGATAAGGTCTCATCTGAAAGAGAGGTCCGCTAGCGGTGACATCGACTCCTGTCTTAGCTTCTTGGTGTGTTGGTAATCCACTGCTCCAATTACCTCTGCAAAGGTTGTAACATGATAAGATATGCATCATTCATTAAGTGTTTTGAGCCATAATGCTAAAGAAATAATTGAAATCATTCACCACATAATTGAAAATCAATGGCTTTCACAGACTGCATATTCTCTTGAAAAATTACAAGACAAAACAAAATACTTTGGAGCTTGGGGACTATTCGGTTTGGTTGGGTAGAAGATTTTTTGGTTGAAATATTTTGAAGCTTGATGGAAGGGTAATATGTATGTAAGCACAGGACAATGACAGATAACATCTGATTTTAAGAATTATCAGCAGATGGTGTGATTCCTCCCCCCCCAAAAAAAACTTTCACAAGGGGAGAGAAGATAAAGGGCCAAATAACACTAAGAACCAAGGTATAAAAGATTCATGAAATAATTATTCTTTACACAGATTATACCGTAATAATGGCCCAGCATGAAACACATATTAAACAATTTCTTTAAATTAAAAAACAGATAATTCAAACATGTGCAAAAATAGGCTTTCTAATATAATATTATGGTAAAGATTGATTGAATGATTGATTAGTTAATAGGAGTACATTACCTTGGGGTATCAGAATATGCTGATGGATCCATAGGGTCTAGTTCATCTTCTTTTTGTCTCCTTCCTCTAGAACCTTCACAAGAAAACAAAAATGCAAACAAACAAACAAAACAGGACATTAATAATTATATTTAATTTTTAAAAAATAGTGCTTCTCAAGGTCTTCTTCAATGAACCATCATACATTATTAAAGAGCATTTCCTTTAACCTTTTTCAAGAATAGCATCAACCATTTGTACATACTTAGAAAAACTTAAAGGAAACCTCACCCCAAAGAATAAGTGTAGGTCTTCTAAAAATTGAGATGTACTCCTGCCCTTTGATGTAAATATTCCTTATAAAAATGTACAAGAGATATATAAATGAAGATATTCTTGGCATGATGTGATGCCTTTTAGCATGAAATGGGTGCAGCCATTTTCTTGAAAATGTGATGTACCAGGTGATGTTGTATATCTATCATGCACCAAGCTTTTTAGTTGGAAAGACTTTTTAAATCAATAACAAAACCTTTACTTTTCAATGAGAAAAAAATCATAGCTGAGAAGATAGAAATTATATATGGTAAAAAATATTTAACAGGGAGACAATTGTAACTAATTCATTTAAAATACTAAAATATAGCAGTTGACAAATCTATTTCATTTATCAGAAACCTTCACCTCAGAAGAACACCAACTTATTTATGCAATTTGCATTCTGGCAATCTTAGTACAGTGCAAAGGATAATAGCAGGTGAATGAAATGCTTCATCACTACACACACCTGGGAAGGAAGCATCCATAAATTTCAATACATTTATTTGATAGACGACTTCACATAGTACGTCATGTTATCAAAAAAATGGCGATGCCTGTGTCGTGCTGAGAAACTGTACATTATTCTTGCTTTATGCCTCTCTCATACACTTGTAGATTAATGGGCAAGCATATAATAAATCTCTCAGTATAAGTATAGTTATTTCCTGGGTGAGGTTTTCTTTAAAGTAGATATTCATTGATTTTAAAAACTAACTTTATTTTCAATATTGCATAGTTGAAACTTTGATTCGACAAGGTTATCAAAATTCAATGCTTGGAAACATTTGAAGTAATGATTATTATAAATTACAAAACGCTTAAATACAGCCCCGGCATAGCACCTAAAGAGCTCTCCGAACGCTGCTGAGATGTGTGAGATCACAGTATGGACATGACTTGCACAAGCAGATGATGCCCCATGACATCTCACACATTTTCAGTGGCTGTGTTTTCATCTTCTCTTGAGTTCTTTCTCTTACTTCACTACCGTCAGGCTAAATGTATAATCTATTGCCTCACTCTAAACCCCGCGCATGGTTTTATTTTGATGACAAATGCAGCGATACAAAAATAAAGGAATCTGTCGCTTGTAAACAAAATAAGACGCCATTGTATATTCAGCTGCTACACACCGGGGTATGTTCGGCGTTTCAAGAGGGGACAAATGCCGTCCTTAATATCATTCCGAGGGTTTTTCAATTTGAAAGTCTGGTTTCTTTGATTGTTAATTAATCCCTATCCTGTGTATTTACAAGCAAAAGATTTTAGTTATCAGAATCGGGTCATATCCCTTTTTGAATGGTTTGACATGCCATTACATTTATATACACTAAACTCATTATAATTTGACAAATAATAGCTTTGCAATTATGTTCATTCTCTATGGAATGTCGTCTGCTTGGGCAGTGTTGGGCCATATAGTGACGTCATTAAAACATCGTTATTTTTCCGGCGAATCTCTTGTATATCCCAGCTGCTATGGAGGTGGTTGTATTTGTATTTTTATAAATCAACCGATATGTAGTTGACCTATAACGTGTACGATGGCCATCTGTTAGCTTACCAGTTTCTAGTGATACTTTATTTGACATATTTGTGATTTTCTTTGAATTTCACCTTTAACTTGTAACACAGCTAACACATTCACCATAAGATCCTCATTGCAGGTATCTTACAGAAATTTACCACCAGCAAAAGCAACAAAAACTGTTTCCCTTCTTTACATCCTGAAATTAATAGTAGGGTTCGGTTTATGCAAAATTATAATAATAATGATAATTATAACAATCCATGTTATGATAAACATCAAAAAGTGTGGATGTTTAAGGTAATATAAAAAGTAATTATATTTACCTCTATGGTCTCTCCTTGACCGTTCACCTCCAGATCTTGGCGGAGGATTCTTAGGAGGAGGGAGGGGGACACTGGAGGGAATGACCGGTCCTATGACCGGTCCTATCTCCACGTTCTAATATGAAAGAGTTATGAAGAAAGAAACACAATCCATTCATGAATCATACAGGTAACTAATGTGTACTTGTCTGTAAACATGGTATAATATGTGCATGATGTTGTATGTTCACAACATTCCACAGGCTTTGAATATCATTTTGAAGAAATTTGAAGAGTAATATACTAGGACATATATTATACAGATATTGACTGGCAGGGGGTGTAATATAACATTCTTTGGACTGCTGAAGGGAGGGAAAATATAACTCCCTTCAGGTCCAAAGAATATTATATACCCCCTGCCAGTTAATATCTGTTATATAAGATAGCCTTGGTTTGAAAATTTAGGGGGTAGTGGTCCCTTTTTTGTCCCCCAAATTTTTTTTCTCCAATTTGTTTGTAAAGAAAAGAAAAAAAAATTAGAAAAAAAAGTGAGAAATAAAATTGACAAAAAAAAACATTACGAGAAAAAAAAAAATTTTGAGGGAAGAAAAAAAAAATTTTGAGGGAAGAAAAAAAAAATTTGGAAACAAAAAATTGACCCTCCCCCCCCTAACAACAACAAATTCTTCAAAATTTAGAAATGTTGTGTTTTCCTTTGAAATTGACATACATGTTAGAAAAATATACTAATTTTCACGGCCAGTATAACGGGCAATGTAACAATTACGATCCTCGCAATCGATATCATGTGACGCGCTGTGGACCAATGACATCTCGGCATCTGTCTAAGCTATCTAATATTACACACTATTTTTTCTTTTGCCAGCCAATTAAGTAATGAAATAAAATTTAAAAGCAGGGTCCGTCAATTTCATGTACTCTGTGAACAAATTGCGATGCTGGATCATTTAAGTGATCCAAAACATGCACAAATGACATTACGGTAGTCAAAATCTTCATCCATATACAGTAAGGAGTCTTTTTCTTTCACTTAAACTGGACATGTTTTGAACAAAAGATGGCGCTTGACTAATTATTTACATTACCTTTATATATTTACATATATACATGTGTCAGAATGGAATGAAAATTTACAACATTTGATTTTTGACAATGACATAAAGTTCTTTATATACCCCACAGTGAAACATTTCATGGATGCAAAATGACACTGTTGTGACTGATATCTTGATTTAACATAATACTAACCTTGACCTTATCAGCTGGCTCCATGCCTGGTGGTTTGGGTTGTGCTTCTCTTAATCTTATCCTCTTCTCTTCAATCTCTCTCAATTTGTTAGCTGATAAAGAAATGTTTGCTTTTGAATCTGGAATAAAATACAAATGTAGGGGAATATAGTAATAATGGCATCACAAGAACATTACATTTAAACACCTACTTGGATCTCTTTTAGGGAAGTTCAAAGTACTTTATCCCATACGCGACCAAATCCAAGAGACTTTAGCTAACATTTGTATAATTGGTAACGTTACTAATTTATGGTAAGCTTGAAAGCTTGGATCACACCAAATATCATCTAAAAAAAGTATTTTCAAAATTCCTTTTAATCATCATTCATTAAAGCTTGATAAGGTTTGTGACACAAAGTGACAAAAAACCTTTAAAAAGCCCTTGAAGAGGCTTTAATGAAGTGATATTTGCAAAACATTGGTAAGATCTAAGCAGAAGAAGGGCTGAATGAATCATGCATGTTTTAGTTACTGTACCTTACACTGGTACAGCAAATACATAATAGAGCTGTGAGAGATCATACTCATAGGGATTGCAAAAAGTGAATATGGCATTTGCATTGCAAGAATCAATGAGGTCAGCGTGTTATAAATTCTTCTTTTTGATTGAGAGACCTGGGCCCATAACACAAAGCTTAGCATATGATCGTACAATTGATTGCTTGTTCAAAACGATCAATTGCAAAATAGCAATCAATCACTAAGTTATCTCTGTGTTTCAGGGGCTCTTGTGGTACATCAAAATCCAAAATTCATAATAACTTAGAGTTTACAACTAAATAATTCAGCTAAACATGGGGAAACTTACAAAATAAGCTACCAAAAAATAAGTATAACATGTTGGCCAGAATTATTCCATAACTTACGTTTTTCATTTATTTATAACAGTTTATCAATAAGAAATCATTTGTGGCCAGATGGCCGATTTGCAGATTCTTTTACAATCATTATAGATAAAATGGACACAATATTACATTAAAGTTGCTCATGCGTGGGCATATAGAGGGCAGCACACGGACGTATGCACGGGAATGTAATACCCGTTGGCTCAGTGTTATGTAGTGATCGCCAAGTTGCCTACTTCACGAACGACTATATACCCACACATGAACATCTTTAATATCAGTGAAAATGCAACATATATGACAAATAACATATTCCAGGACATGGATAAAGGTTGATCATGATAAGGATACATGTACATGTAGTAGGCCTATAGAGTCAGTTCTACAAATTTAGTTTTTTTTTGGGGGGGGGTCCTTATGACCATTGTAAATCATTCAATCCTAAACATTAAATCAATGTAAGTCATGAATTAGTCTTTTCTTTAAATACAAGAATGAAACAAGAGGATTGCGTTTGAATACTACTGCCATAGCACACATACCTATCGGTGACAGCCACGAAACCATATCTGTGTTGGAATCCCAATAGTAGACAAATCCACTAAGAACATAGGTAGAAAAGAAAGATCATGCTTAAGATCATCAAAGGATTATAATTTTTTCTTTACAAGATAATTATCTACAAAAATATACAATGACATTGTACAAAATAAAACATACTAGGTTTTGGCATGTTTAGATTTATTTCAAAGAAGCCTGAAGTGAGGCCATATTATCTTTTCATCTCAGGTTATCCGAAAGCTTATCTGCTTATTTGATTTCTCTCTAGGATAAGAAGAAGCTCTCCAGATTACATGTACTTCATATCTAGTTCAAGAGAATCCACACTATTGACTTCACCTATCAGACTGCATAGGATCAGTTCCTTCAGATTACTGTAGCATTCATTCTCTTGTAATAGATATCAGTGCTGTAGTTAAGACCGGCATTTCCAAGACATCAAGTGAAAATATTACCTTCCATAGGCTTTATACATGTAATTTGGTCCGAGACCGAGACCGACGCCACACCCACTAAAATATGGCCTCAAGGCCGGACTCGACTATAAAACTGCTATAACTTTTTGTGTTTAACTTTCTCTGAATTGGGTTTGATTTTTGTTAATAAAGTCAGAGCATGACCTTTGACTGACCTTGGAGGATCTTTGACCTTCCACCAACCATGAGGTAAGCTATCATTGTCAATGATGATCTGTTCCTTGCTTAAATCAGGTTGGATATCACCAGAGTAGTCTGCTGCAATGATTTCTTCAGTGGGATCTACATAAGTTAAAGTGAAAAGTGTTTGTCATTTACTTTTTTCTTGCTGTTGAGAAAATTCTAAGAAAATACAGAGCATAAATAGGGCTAGTTCTTCTTCTTTTTCGCTATAAGCATGGGTCACCATCTATTGTATTCTCGTACTGATATAGGTGCTGTGCAGGTGTACATAAAGTGTCACAATAAAAGGCCTACAAAGAACTATATGCGGCTAAAAAGACATCTGTAGCTTGACGGAGCTGGATCCCGAGTACCCCTCTCTTAGGTGAAATAAAAAAATGTGTATGTTTTCGCGTCCCTGTCTGCTTTTTTTTTTTCATTACCAAAAAATGACAAAAAACTATAGAAAATTACAACAAATCCATCGGAAAATAAATACTTGCAAGTTTGTAGTTTTCTATATAATATAGACTCTCTTGGTTACTTAGCTACCGTACAATTGCTAAATATGTCTTCGCATGAGTCTATTTATCTGCCATGGCCTAGACTACCGGTAAATGCTTTTCGATCTTGCTATTACCATTACCATTATTCAAATTGGTAGATTGAATCTAAAATCATGGCTGCGAGTGGTCCCTTGTGTAAATGTGATCACGAATGTAGTTTTTTCATACAGTCGTTTTAGCCGTAATATTTATCACACTCCCATTGTACATTGACGATGGTAGCTAAATGGGAGAGAGAGAGAGATAGAGAGGCTACAAAACCTTAATTGCATCGGTACGTACTGTGTAAATATTATTGCAGTAAATCAGCTGTTTTCTGTCACAGATTTAAAGAGATATGTTGTGTGAAGTTTAAAAATGTACACATGGTGCTAACACTATTAAAACAATGTAAATATGATCAGCTCTTGTGTGGCTATAATTATCTCTTTTATTTGTAACATTTCATCTAAGGCGAACCCACCAGGGATTGCCGGAAATCTCTAATGGCGGCCATCTTGAAAAAAAAGTTCCACTTCCTCCTCCTTTTTAAAATTTCACACGTAAAACCTGTTTTTTTGTTCGGCCTTAAGGCTTAGCAGAGAGGTTCCAGAGCCTGGTGGCTCTCCAAGAACAAGAGAATGCTGCTATCTGTATCATTCAAAAAATTAATTTTCTGAAGGCATACCAAATATCAACTGAAGATATAAAAAAGTAACAACAAATGTATGAGAGATCCTGGAAGTCAAAATGAGAGTGTGATAGTGATACTGCAATGTTTTTCACAATTGTACATTCCAATTTTCACTCAAAAGCATGAGATGCCAACAGGTTCGGAAAGCAAATTTAATATAATTAACACACACTTTCATAAAATTCCATCAGGGACTTGAACAACAATGAGAGATAGATTTACAGGATTTACACTGTACATGGACTTTTCAGACTGGTAAAATGTTAAAACTTCTTTAAAATACAGTAAATGAATACCATTTTCAAGATTAGTCGAGCCAGCTTTCAAGATCCCTCTCTTCTTCAAACGAGCAGCTAAAGCAGGTGGCAGAGACATGTTAAGGTGTATTTCATTGGATGCTTAAGCTGGGAACTAGAAACAAAAATAAAGAAATAGACTCTACATGTAAAAGTGACAAAAAAGTTGAATAAAATCACCATATTAAAATTCCATCAATACTGAATCTGGGCGAGGCGTTTTGAAAATGAAAGACCATTTGTACATTGATACATTTTAGATTCATCCCTAAAAACTGATGAATACTAAATAACTAAATTAGCATATGGTGAAGAAGAAAAATAAAAAAAGAAGCAAGAGAAGATGAAGATGAAGAAGAAGAGGAAGAAGAAAAAGAGAAAGAAGAAGCAGAACAGCCAGAAGGAGAAGGAGGAGGAGGAGGAGGAGGAGGAGGAGGAGGAGGAGGAGGAGGAGGAGGAGGAGGAGGAGGAGGAGGAGACGAAGAAGAAGGAAATAATGAGGAAGAAGAGAAGAAGGGGATAAGAAAAAGAAACGGAGAGAAGAACATCACTTGACTAAACCTCCAACAACACAGCTTACAGCCAGCAACAAAATAAATAGATGGGACTGTTCGTCAATCACTCGATGCCAATGGGGTCTGCAATTTTCGTAATTCAATAACATCTTGGAACTAACGTTTATCCCTGCTAGATTACTCACAAACATATTCAACACGATATTATTCACTCATTTAAAAACAATTTAAACATTAGAGAATTTAATTTCGTCTTACATTATTTTAGTACACGAAGTCTCACGAACTCGATCGTCCACGCGTACTCCAGACAATCCTACACAAAAGTTTTAGTGATATGACTGAGTGCAGTGCGTACAAACCAGTATGTTATTTTACGTAGGATAGGATGGGCACAGTTGAACACCACATCGGGGGGGGGGGGGGGGGGGGGGGGGGGGGGGGGGGGGGGGGGGGGTGTATAAATAAAATTAAATTTATTAACACATTTTGAACTATTTTAACAATTGATGATCATAGTAATTTTGAAAGAGGGGTGCAATCTCATCTCTTCTTGTATTAATTTTCTACTATACCAGGCTGGTTTTTAAAAAAAAACTTATATAAAAAATTATGATATTGCATTGAGGGACCTGACTTAGTGACTTTTAGGTCTCATGCACATGAAAGAAAGAAAGAAAGAAAGAGGAGACCTTATAGAAGCTGGGCTATCTATTTCACTAAAATGCATTATATGAACTTGTTCTTTATAATTGTTCCTTTTATGTACCGGTACTCTGTCACATGTTATAAATTAGTTAAATTGTATTACATTAATGTTAGAAGAAAGACAAATAAACTTGAAATTGAACTTGAACTTGATCTTATCAAAGTTTCTCATCTATCGTGTCTATATAGTTTATATTTTGTTTAGCTATGTATTATAAAAATGTTTAACTCCATACAAATTAATCACCTTTCCTCAATGACCAATAAAGCAAATTAGGGAATAATTACACGCATATTTTTTAATTTCCTGTATAGAAAGAAAACTGTCTTAGATTATATCATGCAACTGAATATAAAGTTATGGGTCACCAGGGGCGGCCCGCCGGGTCCAATACAAATAATTATATATATATATAAAATTTTTTTTAATGGGGAGGGAGGTAGACCTACAATTCCCCCCGAATCTCTGAAAACCCTCCGGCCTCTAACTTCATCGAACAAAAGTGGTGCACTATTCGGATCCGATATTGCGAGCAAGCGAAGTGAGTGAGCAAAAATAATTGCACCAAAAAAGGTTAAAATTGTATTTTGTCATTTATATATCTTAACGTAAAATCACATAATCGGTCATCTCGTTGCTAGGAATCGTCCTAATTTATCAATTTTGCAAAAATTGAAGCGAACGAGGGGAAAAAACACTTTGTTGTATGAATTTTATTTCGATATAAAAATACAATAGTTAAGGTTATATTCGGGCGTCATGCTGCCCGAATCATGACAATATCATGACGAGGTGCTCGAATATCGTAATATCACCATATGGGGATTTTCATGGACCTCGCTGCCTGAAACTATCCCGTTTCTAAATTACGTGAGTGAGCGAGGAAAAAGACACTTTACTATCTCTAAAATGTTATTTCTCATCAAAATACCTAAAGAGCACATTTTTTTTTTGTCCCGGAAATTTGGCCGACCGACATTTCGTTCAGTGAGGAGGGGGGGGGGGGGGGAGGGGTAAGGTCACTTTTTTGGTCACCTTTTTTTTAATTTGAGGGGGGTTTCTTGAACTTTCTTCCAAAACACACACATAACAAAAATTGAGGGGGGTTCGACCCCCTCCCCCCTGTGTACGCCCCTGACCCCAGTGCATTTTTCGATAATCGTTTAATGTATCTCTTACAGTCAACAGATTATAATTATAATGATGATGACGACGATGATGATAATGCTAGTAGAGAATACCCCTCATCGCTTGTGATTCTCGTTGTGTCATTTGTGTTGCCTCATCCAATGAAATGTTTTATTTAAGATTTATCATGTTGTTTCCAAGTTACTGTTAGAAGTTAAATCTTTGAAAAGCATTTTTTTAGTAATTTGTCACCCTATTTGTCATTTTCCTTCATATCTCCCCTCGCTCTCACATTTTTTTTTGCCGTTCGATTGCCACTGGTAAATAATGACAATCGTGAACGATGACGGAGGCAAACAAATCTTCAGTTCAGGATATTGCAGCAAAATGTTTATGAAATGCGACAAAGAGTATTACCTGATTACTACCCTTCTATTACATCCATCATCATTCAGACTTTGACAGGGGCGGCCGAGCGACTCCCAAAGTGGGGGAGCACCAACAAAAAAGGGCACTTTCTGGAAAAAAGGCACCTACAGTGGGGAATCTCAAAGCGAAAATATACCATTTTTTAGACATTGGTATATCCCCCTTCATTGTGAGTACATTATCAGGGATGATTTCAATATTTGTTTCTCTTCATACTTCATACAAGATATCGCTGAAGCATCATACTTTACAGTTGAGTGTGATGTCTGAATATGCATTTACGAGCGAGCGAAGCGAGCGAGAAAAATTTTAAAGATCTGTGAGGTCGCAGTGTGAAAAATTACATCTTATAGAGAGGAAAAAAGCCAATCGTGATGGGGTTATAAGCACATTCTCATAACGGAAGACTGAAAAGGCCTTTGATAAGTAACATTATTATATTATCTTTAAATGCGAGCGAGCTTTGGGGGAAATTGCTCTTAGTCGCTTTAAATAAGGGGCACGTTTAATGATTACATGAAAAGGGGACAATTATCGAAAGGGATAAGACACTTATTAGAAAAGAAAAGGAGCACGTGTCAAAGTACAAAGGATAATTATAAGAGGTGAAAATGAGGCATTTTTTCACCTGAAAAGAGGCACTCACCAGTGACGATAAAGAGGCGTTTACGAAAATGGGAAATAGGCATTTGTTGACGGAAAAGGGGCACCCATCAGATTTTGATAGGGGCATTTATAAGAGGTGAAAAGGGGGTAGGTCTCTTATTAGAAAGGAAAAGGGGCACCTATCATTATTAAAAGGGGAATTATCAGAGTTGAAAAGGGGCACTGACCAGATATGAAAAGGGGGCACTTATGAAAATGTAAAAAGGGCACTTATAATAAAGGAAAATGTGCATTTGTTGAATGAAAAGGGGGCACCGTTCAGATTTTTAAAAGGGGCAGTTATGAGAAGGGGAAGGAGCTCTTTCTTTTTAATGGGGGCACTTATCATAAAGAAAAGGGGCACTTATTAGAAAGGGAAAGGGGTAGTTATGAGAAGGGGGAAGGAGCTTTCTCGTTTTAATGGGGGCATTTATCATAAGGAAAAGGGGCACTTATTAGAAAATAAGAGTGGCACATGTTAAAATGAAAGGTGTGCTCATCCGAGTTTAAAAAAGGGGTAGTTATTAAAAGGAGAAGGGGCACTTCTTACAAAGGAAAAAAGGGGAAGTTGTCAAAGTAAAAGGAGCACCTCTCAGTTTTGAATAGGGCAATTATCAGAGGTGAAGGGGGCACTTACTAAAAGTGAAAAGTGGCACTTCTCGTACCTGAAAAGAGGCACTTACTAGAGATTAAAAAGGGCACTTATTCAAGATAATTTCAAGATTTATGAGAATGGAAAATGGACACTTATTGCGAAGGAAAATGGGAACATGTCGAAGGAAAAGGGGCACGTGTCAAAAATAAAAAGGGCACTCGTCAGAGGTGAAAAGGGGGAAGGGGCACTTATTCAAGATAATTTCAAGATTTATGAGAATGGAAAATGGACACTTATTGCGAAGGAAAATGGGAACATGTCGAAGGAAAAGGGGCACGTGTCAAAAATAAAAAGGGCACTCGTCAGAGGTGAAAAGGGGGAAGGGGCACTTTTACTAAGTAATAGGGGCACTTGTCAAAGTAAAAGGGGCACCTTTCCTATGTAAAAGGGACACTTCTTACAAAATAAAAGGGGCACTTTTGGGGTATCTGAAAAAATTGGGGGGGGGGGGTACTTTGCCCCCTGCCCCCCCCCCCCCCCGGGAGGGCCGCCTCTGGGAAGCTTAGTGTACCTAGATCAGCACTTGTCAAAGTAAAAGGGGCACCTTTCCTATGTAAAAGGGACACTTCTTACAAAATAAAAGGGGCACTTTTGGGGTATCTGAAAAAATTGGGGGGGGGGGGTACTTTGCCCCCTGCCCCCCCCCCGGGAGGGCCACCTCTGGGAAGCTTAGTGTACCTAGATCAGACTTTAAAAAAAAATACCGTGACGTCATCGCCAAGAGCCAGGGTTGTCGATAGACCAGTAGGTGACGGAGACATAAACAATATTTTGTAGTTGTTTTGAAGAGATTATTAATCTCCAAAGCTAAAGATTGAGTTCTTCCAATGCAAAATATTCACTCTTCAGATGTTGAGGCTTTTCAAAAAAAAATTATTTTTGGTAAATTGTTTTAATGGTATTATCTGAGGCAGGCGCGTAAGCAGGATTTTTTTTCGAAGGGGGGGGGGGGAGGGGGTTCAAATTGAAAATCGCGCCGAAAATTTCGCAACGACTCAGCCAGCCGCTGAATAAGCGGGGGGGGGGGGGGGGGGGGGGGGGTAAGAGCACATTTTTTTTGCCCCGAAATTTGCAAATTTGGCCGATAGATATTTCGTTCCGTTGGGCGGGGGGGGGGGGGAGGTTAAGATCACCTTTTTTGGGTCTCCCAGTAGCACAACAGAGGGGGGGGGGGTCCTCCAAAACACACACACACATACAAATTGAGTGGGGGTTCGACCCCCAACCCCCACCCCCTGCGTTCAGAACAGAAGTTTTGATTACTAATACTAATTTAACAAGCTTTAAATCCGCAATCCAAACTTTTATCATGGTGGCAGTTTTACATCAATGTAAAGAACGATTCAAAAGGCATGCATGCTAATATTCCTCCTAGGAATATGCCAGCTTATTATTTGCTAGGCTATAGCTGACACCTGTCTCGCAATAAACAGATGACATATCAGGACAACTCTCATCACAGTGTTTTCGACAATATTTCTAAATGATATTCTGAAAAAGCACCCTGGCATGAAAAACAACCCTGTTTTCCAGGTATATGCAGGCGTCATTCAACTCTTAGTCACCCGGGGTATATTGATGGCTGCTAAGGGAAATGGACCTGCTAAATACCACGAAGACGGTTCTGTTATGGCATGACACAGGTAATTGAGATTTTTTGGGCGATGAGCTCACAAAGAGCTACGTGAAACATCAAAGAATCTGAGATAACCAGAATTTTTCTCATGCAATACACATAAGATTTTAAAGTTCGAATTAAAAATTTGTTTAAATGAATGGTATTCAATTTTTTTTCTTCTATTTTCCATATTTTACTAGACAATTTGAATGCGAACATTTTGCTCACTGTACACTGTTATTATTTGTTTTTGTTTTTTATTTATGAAAAAATAAATAAAACTCAGACGATAGCATTCTTAAAAAGAAAAACATATATCTGTGAAAACTAACTATCGAACTAAAAAACAACCCAAGTAATAGCACATTTTCATAAATAAAACTTAGTTGTATTTCACAACTAAAACAAATGCATCAACGTGCAAATTCATGTACGAATTATACAGCTGGAAACAAACTATAGACTTCAGAATCAGACCCAGGTTCAATTTTGTTGGCCGTTCAATTTTTAAATCGCCCCTTCTGGCCAGAGGACTGAGAGTATGTTGTATTTGTCATTTCCACACTTCATGCTCCAATTTGATTCTAAATATTTCATTTGTTGATAATTAACATCCAGTCTGGCACATCGCATAAATATCGGTGGATAAACCCCCAACAGTATGTGTATAGGATTATATATAAATTCATAGGAGCTTCAATATGAAGACCGTATATCAGCATGGCCAGTCCTACCCTTTAGAACAGACAGATGGAATTATTTTTTTACGGTCAAATCTTGGTCATCTCTTTAAATGACAGGATTGGGAGGGGGAACGCGAAAAAAATCAAACTGGGGAAAAGGGGCTTGTTCTAGGGTGAGAGTATTGTTGCCCCCTTCCCCCAGCATCACGAAGTACTACCGCTTGTTGCCTGGTCGGCTGTCTGACAAGTCGCAGGGCTGCGAAACGATCTCCTTATATGGTCAAGGAGTTGCATTCGTTGCGAATACAATTAGCATAATTTATCAATAAATCTGCGAGTCACGACTTTCTAGTTCTCATTCTAGTACAGGTGGTTGTTGAGTAAGAGCATCAAGAGAAGGGTAAGTCGCAAACAAAGTTGTCATTATCTTTATTCATATATTTTCATCAATTCTATAGAGTTTGTTTCTTTGCTCAGGCTCTTTTAGATCGGAAATATGGTTTAATGTTTAGCTAATTGCTTTGTTGTGAGATTTATCTACACGTTGTTACTTAATAAATTATGCACTTAAAAATTAACTTTCTATCGAATGTGAAAGTTTGATTATAATACTTTGTTCTGTGTTAGTACAATATTTGTTTTATTTATTAAATTGGTTCTTTATATCAAACACTATCGCAGAATTATACCCAAAAAAAATAAATGTAAAGCAATTTCCATTAATTTTTTTTGAGTGTCTCCTTTAAAAAAATGCGAATGTGACAATTATAACTTATACCAAAATATTACTTCTATTGACAATAGAATAGGGTATTGAAATCGGCCTGAAGTTGATTTCTTCAAAGTTTTTGCAATCGTATAACGTACCTCGATCTATTGGTCATAATGTTGATAGATTATTCATAATCTAGGCCAGGATTTACCTCTAATCTAAAAAAAACGTGAATCGTGTAGTATTATTCAGGGAATAGTTTGGTGTTCATATAGAATAGTTAGGTGTTTATGAAGAATATTTTGGCGTTCATATAGAATAATGAACTTTACATCATTCTCTTTAGTCGGCAAGATGGTGAACTACAATATTTTACACATTTCGTTCCTCATTAGTACCGATATTTTCACCAACCAATGTCTTTGAAAATTGGAGAGGAGACGGGGCATCGGTTATACTTGACCCCTTTCCAACATATTTCAAAACACAAAAGATGAAATGGTCGCGCTTCTAATGATATATAGGACTCAACATTAAATTGACATTCAACTGTGTATCCCATTTACCTTAAACATTATGTTTCATCCTTAGAAGAATTTAGGCCTACAACTTACATTTACATGATATAGATAACGATGGACATCCGTTTAAATTTAGAGCAGCTTCAACACTTACAAACTGTCATTTTGGAACTTCCGTTCTTAACGGATTTGAAGAAATCTAATTATGTTTGGTACAGCAATAGATCTAATGCTTTAGAGATGTGAATTTCGCCATTAACTTTCATCTTATTTTGTTATCATTGAAATGTATTAACTGCTTTTGGTGAGGTCAGTTTCATCTTGCTCAACGTTATGTTGTTTAGGTCTAACGTTTCACTGAAATACCAATGCAAAATGTTTCTTATTAATTTTTGCAAGAAATTATCTATATTCTTATCTAAGTATGGCCACTGTTATTACTACTTCTATTTCTAGAATAAAATCTTCTTTATTCTAAGACTACTCAAATTGATGTAATCAGTTTGCAGTCATCCGATTATATACTTACGGTTTATTCATCACAACGTTTAGTCATGCTCGTGCAAAAGGAACTTCAGGAAGGTGATTTTATTTATATATTTATTTATTTATTTATTTATTTATTTATTTATTTATTTATTTTTTTTTTTTTGGGGGGGGGGGATGGAGACACGTATAGCTTTTCCTTAATGTATTTTGGGAGTAGCTAGGTCTATGTATTTCCTTATTGAGAATTCTTATTCATTTTGAACTGAGCCTAGTTGTAATCTTTTGATAAACTCAGGTCATGATTATTTTAGATTTGTTGTTCATGTGACAGCTATGATGTCGCGTTTTTTTAATACAAAATACGATTATTGGTTCTTTGCAGATTCTACCCATTCCCTCCAGATTATCTTCTGATAACCAAATACCCACCCGACAGACATCATGTGTGACGACGATGTCGCTGCCCTGGTCATTGACAACGGATCTGGCATGGTAAAGGCCGGTTTCGCGGGCGACGATGCCCCACGAGCTGTCTTCCCATCTATTGTCGGCAGACCCAGGCATCAGGTATTTATTTATTCAGAAGTCATTATATGATTATCCTAATCACTGGCGGATTTAAGAGGGGTACAGTTCACAATTCTGCCCTCCTCCGTTTTTAGGTGATTAACCTTTTTTTTTTTAGCTCACCGGAGCCAAAGGCTCCAGTGAGCTTTTTTGTTGTTGTCCGTCGTCCGGCGTCCGGTGTCTTTTGTCCGGCGTTCAGCATCTGGCGTCCGTAAACTTTTTACATATTCAACTTCTTCTCATAAACAGATTGCCAGATTTAAACCAGACTTGGTAGGAATCATCCTCAGGCAAGGGAAATCGGAATTTGTTCAAATGGGGTACGTGTCCCCAAGAGAAGCCTGGGGGCGGCGCCTCCAAAGTTCATCAGTGGCAGTAATTGCACATAAATTCTTGAAAACCCATGGCTGGATTCGAACCAAAATTTGTAAGAATCACCTGTAGGAAAGGGAGATCTAAAGTTGTTAAAATAATTGTACTTGAAACACCCTTCTGACCTCAAAGGGCGTGAAGGCTAAATTCCCCGAAGTGCCCATATAGCAATAATTAGATTTATAAAAAAAAAATCTTTGAAATTCATGTATAAATTTTGACTTAACTAGATAGGCAGCATTCCTCAGGCAGGGGGATATGAAGTTTTTCTGAAGGGCTGCCTCCAGGGGGAGAGGGCTTGGGAAGTAGTATCCCCCCACAAAAAATCCTCTTGCTTATATTTTTGTATTATTCTCAAAAATGCAAAGTCGGATTTTAACCAAACATGCATGGTAGGAATCATCCTCAGGTGAGGCCGATCTCAGGTAACCCTGTGGCATTTCTTAGGTGATCTGCCGCGTAACATAATGATCACCTGTTGATTTCGTCAAAATCGTTATTATTATTTCTTTCCTACCTTGTTGTGGTTCGACTATCTTCTGAAATATAAATGCCAAATCTTTTTATTTTCTAGGATGATTTCCTATTTCCTGGAATAGCGAATCTCCTCGTTTGGATGTTATCGTTCCTGCGTGACGTCATCTAGATGCCATTTTGTAAATTCATATTTTCTTAATTATTTTCCGAACGGATTGATGTTCATTTCTGCATCAAACTTGGACTTCAGGTCATGTACCATCCTACGGTTACTCTGTCATGCAATACTGCACTCTAACGTACGCATACGCATACGTCAAAGTTTCAAAATGCTCCAAATGCCCAACTTCGAGGTTTTCTATATGTTTCAGGTCATTTCAAGAATTCTGCATGTGCTGAAAATTAGATTTTTTAATGTGTTTGAACTCCAAATAAGACTGCTAATAATTCTAAGTCACTTCTCTTTAATAAAGACCTTCCAAACAGCAAGCGAGCACGGCAAACTTAAAGAAAATAAATATTGAAAACCGTCGGAAAAGTTATTAAAAAACTGTTTCATTTGAATAAAAGATATCTCTTTAAAATGCCGTTTTATCCTCATTTTTTGTTTCATATTCTGATAGATCATGAAGTGTAGATATGATTTCATACCAAAACGTTGGTATGGATTCTGGTTTAACATTGTAGGAATCATTTTTATGTGAAGAAGACCTAAATTTGTTTTAAGAGCATACCTGCACCTGTGGGAGCTATGTTATTATCACGAGGCCACTTCTTTTCTCGGCTCACATGGGGGTAAGGTGCGCGGATCTCTTGTGTTTTTCTTGTCAGAAATTTGTTGCGAATATTGTGCCCCATCTTTTACAAAATCCTGGATCCGCTCCTGATTTTCTAATGATAACATGATTACAAACTATATCATAGCTCTATTAAAAATGAATAGATGTCTTTTTCACCATCGTTTGTTAGGGGTGCCCATAGGAAAGTGAAAAGTATGCCGCAGACCTGCCGCAGACCTGCCGCAGATCTGCCGCAGACCTGCCGCAGACTTTTAGTCTGCGGCAAAGAGTATGCCGAAGTATGCGGCAGAAAGAAATTTTGCTGCAGACTTGCCGCATACCAGTATGCCACAGGAACAGTCTGCGGCAGATTTGCGGCAGGATGAAATTTTGCTGCAGACTTGCCGCATACTAGTATGCCACAGGAACAGTCTGCGGCAGATCTGCGGCAGGATGAAACTTTGCTCCAGACTTGCCGCATACTAGTATGCCACAGGAACAGTCTGCGGCAGATCTGCGGCAGGATGAAATTTTGCTGCAGACTTGCCGCATACTAGTATGCCACAGGAACAGTCTGCGGCAGGATGAAACTTTGCTCCAGACTTGCCGCATACTAGTATGCCACAGGAACAGTCTGCGGCAGATCTGCGGCAGGGCGAAACTTTGCTCCAGACTTGCCGCATACCAGTACGCCACAGGAACAGTCTGCGGCAGGTCTGCCACAGGAAATCCCATTAAAGTCTAATAGGGCCAATTGAAACCAATCATCTCATGCATATTCATTATTACTTTACACGTGTGACAGAAAAATACATTTATCATGATTTGTTAAGCAAATTAAGACAATGCACATCATTTTTGTGATTTCTATTTTCCTTTTGCCATTATTAACCAATAGATTATTTTGTCTGATCATGTTACAATTACATTCACGTTTAAGCAATAGATATATTGATTACTAACCAAGAAACTATGATTACTAACCAAGAAACAATATACATATTTAGTATATATATGTGTACGAGCCTGTGTCACTTTAAATGTTACTCTTGAATACACTTCAAATGATCAATGTGATGAAGTTAATACAATTGAGAATAGAATAAACCTAATTGGTAATATCGATATATATTGGTATTACCTAATTGGTAATATCGATATTGCCAATATAGATTATGAAGTATCAATCAGTTTATCACTGGTTCTTCTACTTGCATACTTTATTGCCACGTACTGGATATGAAAGAGTATGCGGCAGGTCTGCAGCAGGTCTATATGAGATATGAATATTCATGACGAAGAGTCTGCGGCAGGTCTGCAGCAAGTCTGCGGCAGACCTGCCGCAGACTCTTCATCATACTGAAAGAGTATGCGGCAGACCTGCCGCAGACTCTTTATCATACTGAAAGAGTATGCGGCAAGTCTGCGGCAGACCTGCCGCAGACTCTTCATCATACTGAAAGAGTATGCGGCAGGTCTGCAGCAAGTCTGCGGCAGACCTGCCGCAGACTCTTCATCATACTGAAAGAGTATGCGGCAAGTCTGCGGCAGACCTGCCGCAGACTCTTCATCATACTGAAAGAGTATGCGGCAGGTCTGCAGCAAGTCTGCGGCAGACCTGCCGCAGACTCTTCATCATACTGAAAGAGTATGCGGCAAGTCTGCAGCAAGTCTGCGGCAGAACTAATTTGCATGTGAAAAAGATGACTGTCTGCGGCAGGTCTGCTGCAGATCTGCGGCAAGTCTGCCGCAGGAGTATGCGGCAGGCTCATTTCTTTCCTATGGGTGTGGTTCCGAAAAGGATACTTGCTGCTGTATCGAGATGTGTTCTGCTTTTTTTTATTACTCATTCGCTGCCACACTACCCGCAGTGCTGTGTACACAAAAATGGATAAACATGGGAATGGGGGCAATAATATTTCAAGTGGGTCTGTCTTTCTTTTTTTTTTTTTTTTTTTCTTCAGGGCGTTATGGTTGGAATGGGTCAGAAAGACAGCTATGTCGGAGACGAAGCACAGAGCAAGAGGGGTATCCTGACACTCAAGTACCCCATCGAGCACGGCATCGTCACCAATTGGGACGATATGGAGAAGATCTGGCATCATACCTTCTACAACGAGCTTCGTGTCGCCCCCGAAGAACATCCAGTACTCCTAACCGAGGCTCCTCTGAACCCCAAGGCCAACAGAGAAAAGATGACACAGGTGAGTGAAAGGCAAAAAGATTGAGAGAGAGAGAGAGAGAGAGAGAGTGAGAGAGAAAGAGAGATAGAAGGGGAGGGGAGAATAGCTATAGAGAGATATAAAGAGACATAAAGAGACGGTGACAGAGAGAGAGCTATATAGGGAGAGAGAGAGAGAGAATGAAAGACAGACAGAAAGAGATATAATACATTCATTGTTGTATGGAAGCACGCTAAGAGACGAAGTAGACATCGATTCAATGAGCCTCGACTAAAAACACACAAAAAAAAACAACAAGAAATTCAACGTAAACACAAGAACAAAACCTAACAACTTTTAAATGATATCTTCGGATATTACGATGTTAACCTTCAGACGTGATGAACCGTTGATCGTCAATTTTATCACTTAAAAAAAAAATATTCGGAAAACTTATTTGCGCCTCAAAATTTTAACATCTACGAAGCATAACTTGTATACCTTGCATACCTTGAATACCAAAGCTTCTGGAAGAAGCCGTCTCCAGCTGCCGAGCTTCTAGATCTAACTTAAGGGGAGGGGGTGTCCCAGCTTCCGGGTCTTGCACCATAATCATTTTTTTTTTTTACATATGTCTCTTGCATGCTGGGACATAATCAGGATCGTCATAGTTCATAGTTGGAGTGTCTACTGTGAGAAGGGTGAATTATATTGCTCCTTCTTCCAGTGTTTGTCAAGTCTGGCTTTAAAGCTATTCACCGAGGTTGCAGATACTAATGAGTCAGGGAGGGAGTTCAAGTCTTTGAGGACCCTGTGGCTGAACGAGTCTTGCCTGAGTTTGGTGTTGCAACTGAGTTTGGTTAGTTTGAAAGCATGCCCTCTCGTTGTTGAATTGATTGCAGGTGTGAAGAATTGGGTAGAACGAGGGAAGCTTCACATTTTCAAGTCTCTCATGGTTGCTTTGGTGTTTTATCTCTGGTACTTGTTGTACTTTCCCAATGATTTTGGGGTCCTTCACATAGCGTCCTTCACATAGCGAGGGTGCCAGATTACACTGCCATATTCCAATATGGGACGAGCAAGACCTTTGTAGAGGAGGGGAATTGTTGATCTGTCCTTGCAAGTGGAAGATCTACGTATCCAAGCTAGTACAGCATTCGCTTTTTTAGCAGCAATTGCAGATTGTTGATGAAATATGAGTTTCTCATCAATGACCACCCCAAGGTCCTTTTCTTCCTTGGTTTCTGGGATCTTTACACTGTCTAGCTCATATTCCCTTCGTGGATTGCATGCCCATAGGTGCAGGGTCTTGCGATTGTTTGCATTGAAGTGGAGCTGCCATTTCGCAGACCATCCCTCAAGTTTCTGTACGTCTCTCTACAGGGTGGTGTAGTCTTCCTCAGACGTAGCTTTGCCATACAGTTTGGTGTCATCTTTAACGAGTTTGACTGCTGTCTCAATCTCGTCAGGAAGGTCATTTATGTAGATGACAAATAGAAGTGATTCGAGCATGCTCCCCTGGGGTACTCCACTGCACGGTGAACGGGGTCCAATCTGACATGTTGTGGTTCACGCCCAATCTCTGCTTCCGTTCAGTGATGAAGTCTTGGATCCATGTTCTGATAGGACCAGAGGTTTCATAGGCCTCGAGCTTGTTCATTAGACGCTGGTGCGGAACCGAGTCAAAAACCCTCCTATAATATCTAGTTAGACTATGTCAATGGACTCCCCCTTGTCGATTAAGTCTGTCCATGCTTCCATAGCACACAGCAGTTTTGTCATGCAAGACCTTCCAGGGACAAATCCATGCAGATGGTCACTGAATATGTCATCGGTCGATCAGCATATGGTCTGCTACTTCATCTCTTACCAGTAATTCCGTGACTTTGCAACATACAGAGGTGAGAATTATTGATCTGTAGTTGCTAGGATCTTTCTTGCAGTGGCCTTTCTTGAACACTGGAGCAGCATTGCTTTGCTTCTATCTGGTTGGTAGTTACCTTTCTTTCAAGGACGTGTTGTAATGGAGAGAGGTAGACAGGTTGCTGGGGCTGTTTCACGGAGTGGGCATGGATGTAAGAGTTGTCCGGTCCGGCAGTCTTATATTTTGACAAGTTTTTAAGCTTGCGTAGAACATCTTCTGGGGTAATAGTGACAGTATCTACTTGTGCCAGTGGCGGATCAAGGGGGGGGGGGGTGGGGGCGGGGGGCCCGCCCCCCCCCCCCCCTTGAGAAAAAAATAATGTAAAACCACGTGATTTTTACCTTTTTGGGGGTTGGCCCCCCCCCCCTGGCGCTCAAGGGGGGGGGGGGTGCAAATTTTTAAATTTTCGAGGACCAAAAAAAAAACGTGCTCACTACCCCCCCCCCCCCCCCTACTGAGCGACTTTTCGGCTGGCGCGATTTTCAAATTTTCGGGAGCAAAAAAAAAAAAAAAGTTGGGCCCCCTCCCCTGAGAAATTCTGGATCCGCGCCTGGCTTGTGCTTCTTGGTATTTGTTGTCAAGAGTGGGAATATGTTCCTTGTCTTCATCTGTGTATGTTGTTGCAAATATTTGCTCAGAATATCTGCTTTCTCTTTGTCGTTGAGCTGGTCATCACTTGATTACTAGTATCTTCTTTCGTAAGTCTCCAATCTGGCTGCGTGAGTTCAATTTCTCATTTGTATATTTCCAGAAGGTTTTGGGGTTGGTTTTGATATTTCCGGTCTGCCCGTTGCGATGTAGTTAGTCCATGCTCTTGCTTTCCTCTTCTGTTTTCTCATTGCAAATCTTGTCATCCATGCATGCTTCTTCTTCCTTCCTTTTGCCCTTGTCGTAGGATTGTGTTTCTGCATCTGGATAGTCAAGTGGCCTTCTAGGAATTCCCAAATCAAGCCTCGTTTGTTGAAAGGTCACTTATCTCCTTTCCCCAGTCAACCTATTTCCTGGTACTGCCGGAAAATATCCTAAAATAAACCTTTTCTTTCCGGCTGTCTTTAAAAAAAAAATATCATTCAGATCATGTTTGAGACGTTCAACACACCAGCATTCTATGTGGCGATCCAGGCAGTTTTGTCCCTCTACGCCTCTGGTCGTACCACTGGTATCGTACTGGACTCTGGTGACGGAGTATCTCATACTGTACCCATTTATGAAGGGTATGCCCTCCCACACGCCATTCTCCGTCTGGACTTGGCTGGACGAGACCTTACAGACTACTTGATGAAGATCCTGACAGAGAGAGGTTACTCATTCACAACAACAGGTGCACAAGAATTATCATAGTGATAGCAAAATCCTTTTGACAGGAATTTTTATTAAATGTGATTGATATCATCTTAATATGCAATTATTCTTTTAGGCTATATATGTGTCTCTGCTTTGCTTTACCTGGATTTCCTATTTTTAGAAGATGATAGACGTGCAATATGACAGACAAGACTCAAAAAATTAATACGTTTTGTTTGGATTCGTTAAATGATAAATAAATTACTCTTTTGAAATTAGTTAAATTGAATATGGAGAAAGCTAGTCTTCCATTCTTTTTGTAATCCCATTTCATTGATGGTTTGTGTTGATTTGATTTCAGCTGAACGTGAAATTGTCCGTGACATCAAGGAGAAGTTGTCGTACGTGGCCCTCGATTTCGAGCAGGAGATGCAGACAGCAGCTTCCTCATCGTCACTAGAGAAAAGCTATGAACTACCAGACGGTCAGGTCATCACCATTGGCAACGAGCGATTCCGTGCCCCTGAGTCTCTTTTCCAGCCATCATTCCTTGGTATGGAATCAACAGGAATCCATGAAACCACCTACAACAGCATCATGAAGTGTGATGTAGACATCAGGAAAGACCTATACGCCAACACTGTCCTCTCCGGTGGAACAACCATGTTCCCAGGAATCGCTGACAGGATGCAAAAGGAGATCTCGTCACTTGCTCCACCAACCATGAAGATCAAGATCATCGCTCCTCCAGAGAGGAAATACTCTGTATGGATCGGAGGCTCTATCCTTGCCTCTCTCTCCACCTTCCAACAGATGTGGATTAGCAAACAAGAGTATGATGAATCTGGACCAAGCATTGTTCACAGAAAGTGCTTCTAGATCCGTGAAGACTTTATTTCTGCTTTGGACATACCCAAAAGCATTGTCGAATAAAAGGGGAAAAGGGATATTTAAACAGAAGAAAGTGTGATACGACATCAGTGGTCTTGTTTATCAAAACCATGCAAGATAAGAACTTGAAAGACTACATACTGCGATGTGACTGAAAAAACAACATGTTGCTCAATTGTCCCGCGTTTTCACCTATATTTTGTTTAATTTAGTTTATTATCAAACGCAAGATTACACTAGCCTTTTCTCTTGACATTAGTATGAGATTTTTAATCCTTGGAGTAACAGTTTTAAGGTGCAAAATGCAAAGGACTCGGTCTGGAACTGTATTTGCCACTAGAAATCTTAAACTTTAACAACAAGCTGGTTTCTGAAATAATTATTGACAATAGCTTTGCAGGATATGAAACGATAAAGTTATGGAGATATGTTTATTTTTATTTTTAATATTTGTTTTATGTGTACATTTTTCTTTTTCTCTTCATGCTTTCATTTCATATCTTTTAATTTCATTGAAACTGAATGAATACATTTCTATCACAAACTACAATTCAGTTCGTATTTCATTTCTACGTATCTTTTTCTTATCTCGAAACATGAACATCTCGAAACATAAAATGTACAATTGAGTATGCGGGCTTCTTGTTGCCGAATACATGCATGGTCGTCAATCAAGGGGGGGGGGGTAGGGGGACACTTTCCCCCAAATGTTTAAGGTTGGGGGACACAATAGGGTATGTCCCCCCCCCCAAGTCTTGTACTTCGTATAATAGGCTCTATGGGGCCCAACTTCTTAAAATTGTGCCCTAGATGCTAGATATAAAGCACAAAATAAGCGCTCTAAAAGTAAGATTTTGATCAAGGCTTACAAGGGGCGTCATTTTTTTCCAGTTCTCTGATTGGCAAAAAATGGTATTATTATAGATCATCAAGCAATATTCGCGCGGATCTCGGTGGTACATGCTAATGCTAGTGTGCGACTGTGTGCTACAAGTACACAATTTAATGTAATTTAATTGCCGGGCAATATTTCGTAGTGGGGGGGGGGGGGTTAGTGAGCACTAATTTTTTTTGTTTGCTCCCGAAAATTCGCTCAGTGGGGTGGGGGGGGGGGCAGGATCTGCCCCTGCAATTACACGACCGGTGTGTTGCGGCTCAGTCAGTAGAGCGTCCGCCTCACAACCGGGAGGTAGTGGGTTCGAACCCCGGCCGCGTCATACCAAAAGCCTGCCCCCCCCCCACTCCGAGAACGGACGGATCCCATGCGTGTTACCAAAATGTCCGGTAAAGGGGTACTTTTCGTGTGACAAAGTCCGGCCCGAGAATTGTAAAAAAAAGGGGTGTATTAACTTTTCACCCGGAGATTTCTTTAAAAAGGGGGTGTTTTTTCTTTTTTTCTCTCATCTCTTTGGACTCCTGAGAAATTATTCCGAATTTAGGGGGGTATATTGAGCATTTTTTATGATTTAGGGGGGTCTCCAAGGCAGGAAAAGCCCGCGAAAGGGGGGGGGGGGTTCGGAAATGTTGGCAGTCCTCAGATAGGAGGTGCTTTCAAAAAGAGGGAACAAGCATATGCGTACCCTAAATAACACTGAGTGTTGGGGGGGGGGGGGCCGGGACCAAAAGACGTTGAAAGACGGGAGTTGCTGCTACCTTGTTTGGCATTCAACAATAAGGGATAGAGCAACGTCGATCTGGCGCTGCTCAGTGGCTGCCGGGCTCACGATCAATTGGGCAAAAAGAATTTCCATTTTCGTTTTAACTTAATCAAATTTGGAGTGGACTTTTAAAAGATTATTATTATTATTACAAGATCAAGATCAGCATAAGTTAATTCCACTTAAAACGCACATTAAATATGTTAATCAAGTTTGTAGAAAGTCCTAAGTATAGAGAATTGTTAACAGGCCGTATTCACAAAAACTAGCAATTTCTATTACTAAGCTTTTGACATGATGCTTAGCTGCTAATGCTACAAATCTTTTGTCTACCACAAGAAGGTTGGATCACGTCCTAGGAACACAAACATCAGTGGATGAGCGGTTGATTTTGTTCCCCTCATTCCCGGTAGCTGATAATGGTCATATCGTGAGATTCCTTGCTCCACTTTGACAAACTTCCAAGTGTGCATCATGTTTGTGCGGGCGCGGATCCGAGGGGGGGGGGGGGGGGCGAGTGGACCTTGGCCCCCTCCCCCTGGCCCCCAAAAGTTTTTTAAAATATTGAGACCAGAAAATTACCCCTTTTTTGCTCAAAGGGGGGGGGGGGGGTGTTCATTAAAAAAAAAAAACGTTCACTATCGGCCAGCGCAATTTTCAAATTTTTGGGTCGAAAGAGAAAGACAAATTAGTGTGCTCACTACTGATGGGTAGGCACCGCGTAACTACGGCGTATGCAATTGGCGTACATATGCGTACGCTTGCGTATGACAGGCGTAGGGTTGCTTAAAGTTGCGTCCGGTTGCTTACTGTGTGCGAAAGCGCCGTCTAAAAATGCAACAGCCTGAGATGTCAAAATCACAAATTGAATAAACCATAACACAACTAAACATGTCAGTCTGAAATACCTTGTAATAGTTCAAACAAAATTACAAGCACGAATACAAACTCATATTGCTCCGATTATCTCATTTTCGCTCGCGTGAACATTGCCAGCACAAAACACTGACCTCTATACCTCCTGGACGGATCATCGCCCATTCCCATTCACTATACGTTACGTACTAAAAGGCTGTATTGTCTGACCGTTCATGACTATTCATGTTTTTGCTAATGCCTTGGTCACAAATACCCTTACGGGCTGCTACGAACGCCGTACGAACGATTTTTAGACCATTTCGTAAGATCTTCTTAAGAAGGCCGTACGAAACAAGCGCTCGTAAACCGTTCGTAGACCGTTCGTAAGAACGCAGATTGGTCGATGGTCTTGTCCAAGATTTTTTTTAACATCGTACGAAACCCTCTCTTCGTATGGCGGCCGTACGAACGCCGTAATTACATCGTAAGAACCACGCAAGATCTACGTACATTTCTTAGGGTCGAGGGACAATTCTAGAAGCTTCAAATTATTACGATGACCGTAAGAACGCCTCAAGTTGTTCAAAGAGGGCTCCTACGGCGTTCGTAAGAACGCCTTACGAGCGGAGATTCTTATGGTATTCGTACGAATGACTCCTGACGTTCGTTAGACGTTCGTAAGGTGCTCGTAAGGTGTACGTACACAATTTATGCAAATTTTGAGTTTTAACGGTTATAAAGCCTCACTCTGTTCATAGTGTTCGTCGAGGGTGCATCTCCTGTCGAAGAAATATGGGACCAAAGGGGAAATCTGTTAGAGGGAAGAGAGGGAAGGGAAACAAACTTAAGGAAAGAGATGAGGAGGAAGGAGAAAGAGGAGGAGAGCAGCAACAACAATATCAAGCAGAGGCGCCGGAAGTGGAGGGGGAGGGGGAGGGGGGGGGGGGGGGGCAGGGGGGCATTCGCCCCCCTCCAACCCCCCTTTAAAAAAGCAGTAAAGGGACAAAGATGATTTGTATTTTTTAACCAAAAAGAACATACAAAAGAACAAAATCTGAATTGAATCACATATCAATTATATTCGATTCAAAGAAAAGAAAAATTAATAGGGATTAAATGTCGTATACATTCCGCTTGCTCCTACATTTTATCAATGGAGGTTTTTATAATATATGCGATTTGCGCATATCGTGGAAATATTGTAAGAGGATGGGAAAGTGTTTTTATTTTTTTTATTACAGTGGTGAGAAGACATAAGCCCCTGAACACTGGCGTACTTATGGGCGGGGAGTATTTCTAATTCGATACCAGTGATTTACAAACGTTGCTGAAATGACATGATTTTCAGGTATTTTTTCTCATTTTTTTTGCAAATCATAACTTTTTATGCGTTTGTTTGAAAACTACTAATTCCCAAAGTAACAGCTAGGCATAAAAATATGCTTATTTAGAAGCCTTCATGTCAGGGCCTGCAGAACGGCGGGGCTCGGGGCTCGAGCCCCCCTCACTTTTGTAAAAAAAAGAGGAAAGGAAAGAAAGAGAGAGAACAAAATGTGTGACCTACCAATGTCACAAATGAGATATCAAAATATGCTCATCTGACCGTAATTAGATGCCGAAAACCTTTGAGCTTCCAGGGGCTCTGGCCCCTGAACCCCAACAAGGGCTCTAAGACAGCCCCCTGGATGCTCATCTGACCGTACTTTAATACCCAAAACCTTTGAGCTTCCAGGGGCTCTGCCCCCTGGACCTCACCAAGGGCCCTAAGGTGGGCCCCTGGATGCTCATCTGACCGTAATTGAATACCTAAAACCCCTGAGCTTCCGTGGGCTCTGCTCCCTGGAACCCCCGACAATTAGTGACCTGCCAGTGACACAAATAAGGTATCTAAATATGCTTATCTGACCCCAATTTAATGCCTAAAAACCATGAGCTTCCGGGCGCTTAGTCCCTTGACCCCCGCCGGTGCAAAGCCCCCTGACCCCACGCCAATTTACGCTACGCTCGCTAAACTCTAACCTGATCGTTAATACTCCACTTTGAAAAATGTTCCGTGGGGCCTGCATGTAACATGTAGGCCTGCCTAGGAGTGGTGGTGATGCACATTTTCCTTCTGCCCCCCCCCTCCTCCAAACGATTTTGCTCATTACGCCACTGGCCCTGGAAGGTGAGCCCCCTGGAATTTTTGCCACCTCAATCCAAAACTGCATTCGGCGCGCTTGATATCAAGAATGATGGCCATATCGGAAGCGGTGGAAGACAGGCGCGGATCCAGGGGGGGGGGGCCGAGCGGGCCTTGGCCCCCCCCCCCCGCAAAAAAAAAAAAAAAAAAAAAAAAAAAAAAGAGAGAGAGAGAAGGAAAGAAGTGAAAGGGAAAGAGGAGAGAAAGGGAAAAAAGAAGAGGAAGAAGAAAAGAAAAGAGGGAAGAAGTAGATCGGGGGGGGGGGGGGCAAAAGGACTTGCCTCCCAGGCTGTTGCCCCCCCCCCCCCAATCAAAAAATAAAAGAGAAGCAAGGAAAGGGAAAGAAAAAAAGGAAAAGAGGAGATACAAGAAAGGAAAAAAGAGGAAGAAGAAAAGAAAAAAAAGGGGATAACCACACAACAAATCGTCTTCTTTCTCTAATGATTTAATGAAACGTAAGCTTCCGCTTAGCGCGGGAGGAAGAAAACTCAATTCAGACGAGGATTATTTTTTGGGAACGGTACAGCAAATCGTCTTCTTTCTCTAATAATTTATTGAAATGTCAAAGCTTCCGCGTTTCGCGGAGGAGGGAGGGGGAAATCGCCCCTCCCTGCACCCACCCACCCACCCCCAATTACGTCACTGCTGGTCACCATTACGAACCAATATTTGGCTCGCATAATTTCAAATTTTGCCCCCCCCCCCCTAAGAAATCCTGGATCCGCGCCTGATGTATATATACAGCGGCAACAGTTTTAATATAAAATGTAAGTTCTTCTTACTTAAATCATTGGTCTGGAAACAATTATTTGCCCATTGTTGTGTATTGTATTACATTTTCACTGACAATGA